TGTCCAGCAGCTTTGTCCACATTCTGGGCCAGGTCCTGGCAGCAGCAGGTGTCACCTTTGAGCATCTTGCTCACTGGTCAGAGTCAACACAATCCAGGTGTAGGGAACAGGGTGCCTCGTAATCTTCTTTGGAGACTTTGGGTCACTGTCAGGATCTGGCAGTCTGTCTGATATTATAAACTTTTAAATTAACATTTTAAATGCCATGTTCTGCAGGTCTCTGAAGTATTAGAGGTTTGTCTGCCTTAAGCTTAACTGTTGAAAGTGTAAACTTTATTAACCTTTATAAAACTAGAACTTTATACTGTCAGGTTTAGCTTTAAACATTTTTTAAAAGATTTATTTATTACATATACAATGTTCTGCCTACATATCAGAAGAGGCTACCAGATTGAATTGTAGATGGTTGTGATCCACCATGTGGTTGCTGGGAATTGAACTCAGGACCTCTGGAAGAGCAGACAGTGCTCTTAACCTCTGAGCCATCTCATTATAAATATCTTATAAACTTATAAATTGTAAACATTTTAAAAACTGTTCTGAAGTCCCTTAATGTTTTTTTTAATATTGAAAATTAAAATATATTCTAGGCCTTTAAGACCATTATTATCTGGGTGACTGTTAAATTATAAAACTTAGCATTCCTGTGTATAAAAGCATTAACATTTTAAATCTGAATAAAAACTTGTTGATAGGATGGTACTCATAACTTCCATATGGTCACCTTTAGTCAAGATGGTGGATCAGGTATCTCTTTTAACTTTAGTAAAATGGCTACCAGCCAGCCATGTGGCCAGCTTGCCATGTGACTGACTGTAAAACGGTGGCCACCTGCACCACTTTTGTTTTAGCTCTATGCTTATAATAAAACTTAGATTATGACAGAAAATACAGATAGAACTTTTTAACAAAACAAGCATACATAATTTTTGAGAGATCAATTTTTAAAATTTAGCATTTGTAGAAATGAAACATCATAGTAAGCAGTTTACATTTTAGTTATAACTTTAAGGCCATTCCGTTTCTGTGGAAAGACCGGATCTGGCCAAATGGCTTACCTGCTCCAGCCCTGTGTGCTTGAGCAGGGAGCTCTGGTGGAGGGAAAAGCTGGCAGATGGCTCCTCCTCACCTCAAAGGCAGGCCGGTGAGGACGGAGCAGGCTCAGCTGTGAGGGCTGCAGCAGCAGTTGGAGAACAGAGCAGCTGCCTCACTGCATGCTCAGGGATAGGAGACCCTGCTGCAGCATGCTGCAGCATGGCACACGGCGGGAGGGACTTTTGCCCAGCATGCCATGTGTTTAGGGCAGCAAGAGAAGACCCCTGACCTGCACCATGTGTATAGGCAGGCAAGAACAGAGACAGAGGGATAAGATGGGCCAGTGACTAGCTAGGCTTGGCCACAGTCCTCAGCCATAGGACCAACTTATAAAAAGAATTGTTTATTAAAAAATTGGCATGCAACAGCTGTAAAATGTCTATGAGAACCGCATCATCTGGGGGTAGATGATGATCTGGAGCCAGGACAGGGACCAAGGGTGAAGAAGGTGGGAGGGGAGGAGCCGACGGTTTTCTCCCTGCCTTCAGAGGAGGTAGGAGAGTCACAAACGGGGCTGCCCATGTCAGGGGTCTGTAGCCAAATTTTCCCAAATAACAATGTATGCTATCTGGTCCAGGTGTCCATGGGGTGCCTTGTCAAAGACCCGAGCCTAAACCTGTAAGATAATTTCTAGGTTAAAGGTCCCATCCCGTGGCCAGCCCACATCGAAGGTTGGCCACTCAGATGTGCAGTTTATACTGGTTAGAGGCACGAATCTGCACTTCCTTCCAGTGATCTAAAGTAAGGCTCAAAGGGGTGGTTATGGTTTGTCCCATGCTTGAATCAGAAAACTCAAAATACAAAGACAAGTAGACGAACAAGACAAATAACACAATTAAGCAACTCACAACGAGACACGCTGCGCGCTTTCGGCGGAGAACCGAAAGTAAATACTCAGGTCAACAGGAGTAGTGGTCCCGTTTTTTCCCTTTTCAGGCCCATGAGCTCCAAACAATTGAGCTCCCGGATCCCTGGCACGTCTGCCGGGGTGGCGGGGGAGAAGACTGGGCTCGTCAGCCCCTTCTCAAGCCACCCTAGTTACTGAATGACTACTTAGCCAACCTGCTCGGAGACAGATCAACATACATACATATAACAAAGAACAAAGCAGACAGGGTGCCGGCTAGCTTACCTCCCGGTGGCACTGGTGGTTCTGGGGCAGAAATCTCAGTGGGACCACCAATGAAAGACCTCGGCATCAAAGAGCCGGGCACTGAACCGAACCCTCTGCCCAAGAACCAGGGCCAGACCACTGGCTGCAAATGCAAGAGGTGATTTATTGAGTACACAGGCGCCTGCGGATGCTACTGCAACTCCGGTGCAGAGCATACCGGGCTTGCAGGGAGCACAATATTTATAGAGTTTTAATGGTTACATAAGTATCAGCATAGTAACAGGCATTTCATTGGCTCATCTTGGGGGCAGGGGTAGTTCCCACGGACTAAGTTTCCTGGTATTACCTCATGAAAGACCCCGGCACGCTTCAGCAATTATTATCCGAGTCCCATGACTACTATGGTGATCATAGACACAATTGGGGGCAAGGGTAGTTCCCACGGACTAAGTTTCCTGGTATTACCTCATGAAAGACCCCGGCACGCTTCAGCAATTATTATCCGGGTCCCATGACTACTATGGTGACCACAGATCCTGTTTGACATCCTGCCAGCTGGGCGAGGCACCTGGTCTGGGTTTTTTCATTAGGCAATGGCCTGGCCTTGCTTTTCTTTTCCTAGGTGGTCCTGGGTAGGGGTCTTTCATTAGTTCTTCAGTCATTACTGAAAGACCCCAAATTTATAGAAATAAAATATAAGCTTAAACAGGGAGGGCACCCCACTAGAGAACTTGGGAAATGAACAAAGGACCCCATCCCAGGAACTGGCCAAACCACAGAATGGAATGTATGTTTTAGCAACCTTAATTGCAGAAGGGCTGTAAACCCACAAAAGGCCAATTCCGGGCTGCTGACCACCTGTGAAGAACTGACCAGGGTGTCAGAGATGGGCAAACAAGATTCGTGGGAAACAAGGAGATGATAACCACCATTTACTTAGGGAGAGATGATTAACTCATACCAAGGTTTGAGGAATTTACAACGTGTAGGTCAGGAAGACATCTACTTCCCCTGGTCAGTAGTCACGTACCACCCCCCCCCGTCACAAGATAGGGACCCCTCCCAAAGGCTTTTGTTTTTTGTCTTTAAAAGCTGATTGTAACTGAACCTCGGGGCCAATCGGTCTAAAAGCTGACCGAGAGGCCCATCTGCAGATGCCTAATTAAAGCCTCTTGCGTGTTGCATCAATTGGCGCGTGGACTCTTGATTTTGGGGGTGACAAATCCAGCTTGGGGACCCCTCCTCAATTCGGGGTACCCCAACGATTGCCTTCTAAGACCCCCCAAAAGAGGCCTTTGCACATCTCACTGTGGCTAGCAAGGAACTCGGGGTGCCGGGCCAGAGGCTGAACCCCAAGTCCTTTTTTAAGCACCTCTCTGCCTCCTGGAGCAGGCTACCCTTGGCAACCTGGGCAGAAATGGGGGAGAAGGGAGTGAAGCTAAGCTCGCCACCCAAAAAGGAATCCAGAGCCCGAGGCAACCCTGAAGAAGGAGGCCCTGTCCCTGCAATCCCCCGCCTCCCAGGCAGAGGAGGAAGCTCCCTCCATGCTGGCCGAACTTCTGCATGTCGCCGAGGTCCTCGGTCGCACCTGAGGTGCCAAAAGGCTTGCCCCATACCATGTCCTACTCCAGTCTGTCCACCGCAGCTCAGGGACCACCCAGCCTACCTTCCCCTGGGGACGGGAGCAGCCACCGGGGGTCTAAGCTGCCCATGTATGGAGGCAAGGGTTGGGGACACCCGAGATGCCTGGCTATAATTAACCTGGACACGTGGCGTGGCAGCCCCCCCCAGCACCTGCTGCCCATGGGCCCCCCCATCCCCATGCCCGGGTCTTGGGCTCCACAGACACGGAGCAGAGAGGCTGGCTCTAAAAATAACCCTGTCCCCAGTGAATCCAGGGCAGGGTGCAGGCCGCCGGTGTCGGACACTTCCCCCAGTCCCAAGCTCGTCTCTTTCCCTGTCAGCTCCACGGTGGTGGGAGCAGCCGGTGCAGAGGCTCCCAGGGCGACACTGGTTCTAGGACCTCAGGCTTGGTCATTGCCATCTCTGCAGCTGGGTGGCCGCAGGCCTCTCTGTGTCCTCCCCCAGGCTTTGGGGGCCCTAGGCTCTCACTGCAAAACTCCCTGCACGTGTGCAGGATGTGGTTCCAAGGAGCAGAATTCGCCTGGCATGCGTGAGGTCCTGGGTTCTGAACCCACAACTGCAAGAATTGACACACACCTGGAATCCCACACACTTGGGAGGCTGAGGCAGGGGGATTGCCATTAGTTCAAAGCCAGACTGGCCCACATAGTGAGACCCCCCCGATCTTGAAAATCCAAAAATCAGTAAATATGAAAGTGAAGTCAGGCATGTGATCCTACTTGGGCTTCTGAGCCAGAACTGTCAGAAGTCTGAAGCCAGCCAGCACGATAGCTAACAGTGGGTTCCAGGCTAGCCTTGGCTACAGGGCAAGACCCTATTTCAGCAATACAAACGAAGCCAAAATGAAACAGTTCTCCCAGCTGCTGTTTCTCCGCGAGCCCAGGGGTCCGGGGGAGGGTACTGGCCGGCTGTCATCGAGGCAGGCTACAAGAGGCTCAGGGGCCAGTGCTTCTACGTGCCTGGGCCACCCAAAGTACTCCTGTTCCATGTTCCCGGCGAGCGGCCAGCTGTCCCGGCCAGCTCGACTCAGCACTTGGTCTGGGAACCAGTGAACAGGCCAGCCCCTGGGGCAGCCCATACAAGGCCATGGGGCTGGGCACGCAGCTCACCCTGGTCCAGGGTGGGCACAGTGCCCGGGCAATGAGCTGAGAGCTCAGCTGCCTCGAGGGGCTCCTCCCTGGGGACAGCCCCTCCTAGCCAATCACGCAGTGCAGGCCCCTCTATATAACCCAGGGGCTGCAGGCTCTACCCCCGGGTCAGCATCCTCCACAGCAGAGACAGCCTCTCCCGAGCCACCCAGCCAGGTAGGGCCTGCGGGGAACAGCAGGGGTGGGGGCAGGGGCGGGGGAGTTCAAGGGTCTGCTCTCCCTGTAGTGTTATGCTTGTGAATTCTGCAACACAAGTTGTGGGGACAAATGTCCGGGCCACCGAGGTCTCAACAGCTGCCGAGTGTCCCCGCTTGCAAGGCAGGGCAGCCTGGGACTAGCGCTGAGTCAAATTAATCTGTCAGGGAGGCCGGTGACTCCACGGCACCTGTCGCTGGCCCTTTGCATCTGGCCGCCCTGTGGGTCTGTGTTTTGTCCCCGCGACCTTGAGTCTCATTGTCCCTGGCTCTCTCTTTGGTTGTTTTAAAGAATTATTACGTGCATTTTGTGCGGGGTGGGGTGGGGTGAGGGAAGGGGTCTCACTGCACACGGGACAGAGGCCGGAGGACAGCCCTGGGGAATCCGGTCTCTGCTTCCACCCTGAGTGTCTGGGGACCAAATTCAAATTGTCAGTGTCTTGTGATGAGCTGTCTCACGGGCCCCTGGCTCTTCCCTGAGTCCCTCTGTCTGGCTGTCTCTGGGATCCTGAGGGTGTGACTCAGTTTACCTTGTGATCTTAGGGAGTCTGTGATGGGTTGTCTTGGGGGGCTAGGCTGTGCGTTCTCCCTCTGTCTCTTGCCTCAGGTCCTGTCTCCTGGGGTGTCTGTCCCTGATGCGCTGGGGGGCGGGGCATGCGCTGTCCGGGAGCACCTTCTGAGGGGAGAGGTCTGGGCTGGAAGTCCAGGGTGTCCTTGAGTCCCAGGACCTGGCCGGGTGTCCGCCTGGCCACCCCAGCCCACCTGTCTCCGTGCTGACTTAGTGCAAGGCGAGCCCGCATGAGCCTCTGGGCAGGTGGCGTGGGGGGGGGGAGGATCTAAAAATAGCCACAAAGCAGCAGCTTCAAGGGCCTCATTCCTGCCCCACCTTCTGCTCCCAACCCGGTCCACCGCCCCTCCCCCTTCCAGATCTCACCCGGCCATGGAAGTCCCCCGCTGTCAGAGCTGCAGAGGTCTAGTCAACAATGGCAATAAAATAATAGTAATAGCATAAAAGGGACAGGGCTGGAGAGGTGGCTCCCGCGGCCTGCTGTTGGTCTTGTGATCATCAGGACGTAGTTCAAATGCCAGAATCCACACCCTTTAACAACAACAACAACAAAAAACCCAAAGACAAAACCAAAATAAACTGGTGCCCGGTAGGGTGGTGCACGCCTTTAATCCCAGCACTCTGGAGGCAGAGGAGGGGGATGTCTGTGAGTTCGAGGCCAGCCTGGTCTACAGAGTGAGTTCCAGGACAGCCAGGACTTACACAGAGAAACCCTGTCTCCAAACAAAACAAACAAACAAGCAAAAAAAAAGGCTGGCCGTGGCAGAGCAAATCTTTAATCTCGTTGCTGGTGAGGTCGGGGGCAGATGGAACCCTGGGTCTTGATGCCCAGCCTGGCTCCAGGCCTGTGAGAACCTGCCTCGAGACAAACACACTAGCGAAACCAAAAAGTCAGTGTTGGCAGCACCCGAGGTCACCCTTAGGCACCATTCGAATGTTTACACTTGCACACACACCAACCCACACACACACACACACACACACACACACACACACACGAGGCTGTAACAGTCGCCGTTAGAGTCCCAGACGCCAGACGCCAGATCCACGATTACCAGCCGTGGACCCACGACTCCGCGATCCGCCATCCCCACGGGAAAGCCTTGGCCCCAAGGATGCAGACGTCAGAGAGGTCTAGGCACTAGCCTGGGACCACACAGCGGTGCCTTTTGCAGCAGGGGCTCTGTGAACAGCCAGAGACAGACCTGTTCCTGTGCCCTCAGCTGCACTGCTTTGGACTGGGAATCCCAATGAGCATTTACCTTCTCAGATGTGCACACGCGTAGGCTCCGCCTGGGGTCACAGGGAGCTCGTTGGTGTTGACTTTCAATGCCTGTGACAAACACCACAGCCAAGGCAACTTGGAAAAGCCTCAACTTCAGAGTCTTGGAATTACAGGTAGGGGCTACTGTGCCCAGCCAAGGCCTGTCTCTTGGGGTTGAGACAAAGTCTCGTGTACCTCAGGCTGGCCCCTAACCCTCTACACAGCTAAGGATGACCTTGAACTTCTGATCCTCGAAGTGCTGTAGGACTCACACAGTACGGGAGGCGAGAACGTCATGGCAGAGAGCTTAGGGCAGGCACGCAGGCACGGCCCTGGAGCAACCAGGAAGCAGGGAGAGCTAACTGGGCATGGGGCGCACTTTTCAAACCTCAAAGCCCACCCCCAGTGGCACACCTTCCAACAAGGCCACACCTCCCAATCCTTCCTAAGCAGTTCCAGTGACTGGGTACCACACATTCAAATGTGGCATGCGGGGGCCGTTCTCACAAAAACCGTCACAGACCCGCTAACAATAACCGAATAAAATAATGCATGTTGTATGACAGGCACTGGCCCAGGTGCTTTACCTGTCCTTAAGTCCCTCCAAAGCAGTGAGCACTGTCATCGTCTCCACTCTATAGATAAGGAAACAGAGAAGTCAAGCAAGTTGCTCAAAGCCACACAGCTTCTTGTAAGCAGCAGACCTGAGATTCAAACCCAGGCCGTCTGATTCCAGGTTCTTTGCTCTTCTTATTCATTCATTTATTTAAAGACAGGGTCTCACTCTGGAGCCCAGGCTGGCCTTGAACTCACCACAATTCTCCTGCCTCAGCTTCAGAGTCTTGGAATTACAGGTATGGGCTACTGTGCGCAGCCAAGGCCTGTCTCTTGGGGTTGAGACAGAGTCTCGTGTACCTCAGGCTGGCCTCGAACCCTCTACACAGCTAAGGATGACCTCGAACTTCTGATCCTCGAAGTCTGGGGTTGCAGGCAGGAGCTGCCGCATCCAGTTTTGCTGGGCACCAAATCCAGGGCCCGGTGCATGCTGGGCAAGCGCGCTGCAACCGAGCTCCAGGCCCCAGATCCTCTACTTTTTCCACCATCCGCCTCTGGCTTCAGACAAAGGGTTCCCACCCCTTTCCCAGCTGGGGACTGGGTCCCTGGCCAGGGTGTGGCCACATCGGGCCAACTTAGACCGGGTTCTCGGAGAAAGGGCTCCTCCTGCTTCGAGCCCCGGCAGCTGGGCTCCTGAATCTGAGCTCGCCGTCCCCTCTGCCCACGCAGGGTCCCACAAGCCGCCACCATGCCGTTCGGCAACACTCATAACAAGTTCAAGCTGAACTACAAGCCCGAGGAGGAGTACCCCGACCTCAGCAAGCACAATAACCACATGGCCAAAGTGCTGACCCCCGACCTCTACAAGAAGCTTCGAGATAAGGAGACCCCTTCCGGCTTCACTCTGGATGATGTCATCCAGACTGGGGTGGACAACCCAGGTGAGCCTGCCTGTCCCAGGGAGCCTCGGCTCTCTCCCGCCCGCCCTTCTTGGAATGAAACCCAGGACTTCCTTCCAGCATGCTAGGTAGTCTAGAACTGAGCCACGCCCCCAGCCCCTCACTGGGGGATTCTAGGCAGGGGCTCTACCACTGAGCCACACCCCAGCCCCTCACTGGGGGATTCTAGGCGGGGGCTCCGCCCTTGCACTGTAGTCCACGCCCATGAGGGGATCCTTCAAGCCTCTTACCTGGATCCTCTGTGGAGGTGGATTGCTTGAGCTCAACGTTTTTGGCTGAGATGCTGCATTCATTCGGAGACTTCGAGAAGCCCTAACATCTTTGGCCCCATTCCCCTGGCCCCTGAGATGGCTCTTTTGCCCAGATTGGACACCTGCGTCTACCACAAGCCTAAGCTTCTGGTGCTGACCTCAGCCCCACCCCGCAGGTCACCCCTTCATCATGACCGTGGGCTGTGTGGCCGGTGATGAGGAGTCCTACACCGTCTTCAAGGACCTGTTTGACCCTATCATCCAGGACCGCCACGGCGGCTACAAACCCACAGACAAGCATAAGACCGACCTCAACCACGAGAACCTCAAGGTCAGTGACCCCAAGAAGCGGGGTAGGCGCAGAGATGGAGAGACAAACCGATGGAGTGAGGGACAGACAGAGGAGCAGACTCCCCAGGAAAGTGGGACCTGCGGTGTCCCGGGGGACGGGGCAGTGAGGCGGGGCGGGGCACAGGACGGACTCTGTGTCAGCTGGGGACTTGGAAGAATCTAGGTGAGATCTGAGGAGCCCTGGGGGAACACTAGAAGACCTAGGAGGAAGTGGGGAGACCCAGGAGGATTGGGGACACCCAGGAGGATTGGGGATAACCTGGAAGGTTTGCAGCAAGACTCGTGGAGGATCTGGAGTGAGAGCCCCACGCGATTCTTGGGGCGACCAGGGCTGGCCAGGTCTGCCTTCCCTGACACCCCAGCGCTCCCCCAGGGCGGAGACGACCTGGACCCCAACTATGTGCTGAGCAGCCGCGTGCGCACTGGCCGCAGCATCAAGGGCTACACGCTGCCCCCGCACTGCTCCCGCGGAGAGCGCCGCGCTGTGGAGAAGCTGTCTGTGGAAGGTGAGGTCCCCGCAGCCGCACCCGGCTCCGGTTCCAGCCTAGAAGGTTGGCTGAATTAGTGCCCCCCCCCCCCGGTTTGGGGGCACCTGGCACTGAGGCAGCCTGAGAAGCCCAGCACTCAGCGACCCAGGCTCTTCAAGCTAGTCGTTCACACATCACTCATTCACCGATTGATTCATTAGTTCAGCAAACATTGTTCGAGCTGAGGTTTCTCAGAATGGGTGAGGCAGCAAGGTCACGAATCTGGCAAGCGTGGCAGAGAACGGGCAGAGAGCTGGCCTGAGCTGACACCCTTATGCTTGTCATCCCGGTACTTTGAAGACCGGAGCAGGAGGATCACCGCGAATGCGAATTGCAGGCTAGCCTGAATTCATAGTGAGGCTCTGCCTCAAATACAAGAAATCAGGCCAGGAGGTGGTGGCACAGAGGGAGTTCCAGGACAGTCGGGGCTGTTACACAGAGAAACCCTGTCTTGACACTCCCCCCTCAAAAAACAAAACCAAAACCAAATCAAGAAATCAAAGCAAACAATAACAATAACAAATTGTCCCTCCCTCCCTCCCCATCTCTCTCTTTTGGTTTTTTGAGACAGGGTTTCTCTATAGCTTTGGAGCCATGAACTCACAGAGATCCACCTGCCCCTGCCTCCGGAGTGCTGGGATCAAAGTCATGCACCACCACTACCACCCGGTGCAAATTTCTCTTCTTTTGTTTCATTGAGACAGAGACTTCCTGTTAGCCCAGATTGGCCTCCAACTAGCAATCCTCCTGCCTCAGCCTCCCAAATGCTGGGATTACAAGTGTGTGCCCTTAGCTGGCAGAAAGTGTAAATTCTACAATGACCTTTCTTTAAAAAAATTTTTTTGAGGTAGGGTCTCTCTACATAGACCTGGCTGTCCTGAAACTCACTATGTAGATCAGGCTGGCCTTGAACTCTCAGAGATTCACCTGCCTCTGCCTCCCAGTGATGTAGTGACCATTCTTACAGTGACCCTCTGTGATTAAGTCACACGAAGTGAGTTTGAGGTCGGTTTGGGCTACATGATGAGATCCAGTCTCAGAAACAAAAACAATGAAAGCCATGTTCAGGAATCACACTCTTTGTAGGTAGACTGGGTGGGAATTTCTGCTTTATGTCCTTGGGGACATGGGCATACAGGGGACATGGGCATGTGGGGGGCAGGGCATGGCCATATGGGGGGACATGGGCATACCAGGGAGCGCCCCATGAATTCTTGGAACAGGGCACGTATTTGGGTTTAGACGTGGGGTGCAGTGGTTTGGAGACCTGTTTGACGTCCAGGCCCAGGGTCTCTGTGGGGTCCTCCGGGCTTGGTCCCCCAGCTGGTGAGGCAGGACACTGATCACTCTACTACGGCCCCTCAGCTCTCAACAGCCTGACGGGTGAATTCAAGGGCAAGTACTACCCTTTGAAGAGCATGACGGAGCAGGATCAGCAGCAGCTCATTGACGACCACTTCCTGTTTGACAAGCCCGTGTCCCCTCTGCTGCTGGCCTCAGGCATGGCAAGGGACTGGCCTGACGCCAGGGGCATCTGGTGAGTCGTCCGTCCATCCCCCCCCCCCATTCTGCCAGCTTCTTTCCAACCCTTTAGCCCTTCTCCATGGCTTGAGTCCATGACCTTGCCTTCCAACCCTGCGTAGCCCTGGTCAGGTGTCATAGTTTAGAAAACTTGGCTCAAAGCAGCACAGGGAGGATTCAAGCTCAGGGTCAGACAGACTACAGTGAGTTTGAAGCCAGCCCGGGTCTCAAATAAAAACTGAAAAGAAGCCAGTGGTGGCGCACGCCTTTAATCCCAGTACTTGCGAGGCAGAGGCAGGGGAATCGCTGTGAGTTCAAGGCCAGCCTGGTCTACAGAGCAAGTTCTAAGACAGCCAGACCTACACAAAGACCCCCTGTCTCAAAAAACCAAAGCAAACCAAAAACCTGAAAAGAGAGTTGGAGTGATGTGCAGCTCAGTGGTGCAGCCCCTGCCTAGAATCCCCCAGTGAGGGGCTGGGGGCGTGGCTCAGTGGTAGAGCCCCTGTCTAGAATCCCCCAGTGAGGGGCTGGGGGCGTGGCTCAGTGGTAGAGCCCCTGTCTAGAATCCCCCAGTGAGGGGCTGGGGGCGTGGCTCAGTGGTAGAGCCCCTGTCTAGAATCCCCCAGTGAGGGGCTGGGGCGTGGCTCAGTGGTAGAGCCCCTGCCTAGAATCCCCCAGTGAGGGGCTGGGGGCGTGGCTCAGTGGTAGAGCCCCTGTCTAGAATCCCCCAGTGAGGGGCTGGACTATGGCTCAGTGGTAGAGCATCTGACTTGCATGCCTAGGGCCCAGATTTAATCCTCAGTATGTTAAAGAAAACACAATAAAATGTTTATACTTGAACCACTCCCTTAGAGTCCAAATCTCAGCTGCATTACTAGCTGAGATTTGAACTACATACCTGTAGCAACAGCTATTCCAGAAGCCTTAAGCAGGAAGATCACTTGATGGCAGGAATCATTTTTAGTCAATAAAGACCATTTTTTATCAAAATCCATTGTACAACAAAGTACATGTATGAAAATATAATAATAATAATAACAATGCTAGGCTTGGTGATGTATGTCTGTAATTACCACACTGCAGAGGCTGAGGCAGGAGGATTACCATTTCAAGGGCAGCCTGGGCTATATACCAAGACTCCATTTCTGAATAAAAGATAATACTCATTCAAATTATTACATTAATAATAATTTAAGCAGGGGGGTAGGGGTGGGGGGATGGGGTAGGGGTGGGTGGTGGGTGTGGGTGTGGGTGTGGGTGGGGTGAGGGGGAATGTGGGGGTGTGTGGTGGCACATGTCTTTAGTCCTAGCACTCGGGAGGCAGAGGTAGGCCGATCCCTGTGAGTTCGAGACCAGCCTGGTCTACAGAGAGAGTTCCAGGACAGCCTCCAAAGCCACAGAGAAACCCTGTCTTAAAAAAAAAAATTGAAGACGGTTGAAATCTCAGAATCCTGAGATTTGAAACTTTGGATCAGAATGGTCACAGGAGGTACATTGCCACTGCATCCCGCTCTGGCCTAGAACTCACTCTGTTGCCCAGCCTGCAGATCGTCCGGCTCAGCCTCGGGGTGCCAAGATAACAGGCCGGTGCCCAAAGTCAAGGAGTCGAGCTAAGACCGAAGCTGTGCAGACGAGTGCCTGGGAACCCGTGTACCGCATTCGGGTCCCCCAGTGCGCAGGGGAAGGGACTGTGTTGGGACGAACGAGTGCATTTGCTTTCCTGGGCCATGCGGCTCCTGCTGACTTTTAGGCCTCGGGTTGCCCCTTCGTAGGCACAATGACAACAAAAGCTTCCTCGTGTGGGTGAACGAGGAGGACCACCTCCGCGTGATCTCCATGGAGAAGGGGGGCAACATGAAGGAGGTTTTCCGCCGCTTCTGCGTCGGCCTGCAGAAGGTGGGTGCTTGGTGAAGCCACGCCCCTTCCTAGAGCCCCGCCCTTCCAGACCGCCGAGCCCCATTCCCAAGACTCCTCTCCTTCCACGTATACCCAGCCCCCCACTGGCTTTTCCCTACACACTTTCCAATCTCTACCTCTTACATTCATACACACACACGTGTACACACATGCATAGACACACACAAGTGTATACACACGTAGACACACGCACTCTTACTCACACATGCACGCACGTACACACAGGCACACACACATGTATACACACACGCATAGACACATACGTACACACATGCACACAGGGTCATATCCACACGCATGCACGCACATTCACACTGCGTACACACACACACACACACACACACAGAGCAAATTCTGCCCTTTCCGATTCCACTCTACCCATTTCCCCAAGAAGGTCCCAACTCTTCCCCACACTCAGACACCCCTAATCCATCCTACCAACATTCGGATCCCAGCCCTAGCCCGAGCCCCACCTTTCAGAACCCCGCCCCTCCCCGCCCCCAACCCGAGACACACCCAGGGGCTGAAACCCGCCCCCTTCTCTGCCATGGTCCACTCTCCAGAACTCCGGGCTGGTTCTCCGCTCCCACCCTTTGGGAGTCCCACCCACCCCCACCCGCATCCTAACACGGGGTCCCCCAGAGGCCTCCTGGCAGTCTGCGTTTGGAGCCCAGCCCCTGGTGCCCTCTCCCCTCCCAGATTGAGGAGATCTTCAAGAAGGCTGGTCACCCCTTCATGTGGAACGAGCACCTGGGCTACGTGCTCACCTGTCCCTCCAACCTGGGCACCGGGCTGCGCGGAGGCGTGCACGTGAAGCTGGCGAACCTGAGCAAACACCCCAAGTTCGAGGAGATTCTCACCCGCCTGCGCTTGCAAAAGCGTGGCACAGGTGAGCCCGCCCGCCCCGTGACGCCTTCCTGAGGGGGCGTCCCTGCAAGTTCCGGGGTCAAAGCCGTTGTATGAAACTTGCTTTTACGCCCAGACTGGCCTTGAACTCTCAAAGTTACAGAACTCGCTCTGTAGACCAGGCTGGTCTTGAACTCACAGAGCTCCTCCTGCTTCTGCCTCTCGAGGGCTGGGGTTAAAGGCATGGCTCGGCATATTTTAAAAACTGCATTTATTTATCTGTGCGTGAGAGAGGGCATTCCGTTTGTGCGGAGGTCAGAGGGCAACTTTCGGAAGTCAGGTTTCTCCTTTCCACCGAGTGGGTCCTGGGAATTGAACTCAGGTCGTCGGGTTTGGCAGCAAGCGTCATCGCCAGTTCTGCCACTTCTCAGTCCTGTACTGTGATTTCATGTTGGATGCTTGAGCGAGGAGCTCACCGTAAAGTCCGAGCCGGTGACCTGTGTACAGCGAGTTCCCCAGGCGTCTGCAGCTGGGCGCGGGGCGTCCTGCACCTCTACTCCCTGCTCATGCGTCCTGCACCTCTGCTCCCTGCTCATGCGTCCTGCGCCTCTGCTCCCTGCTCATGCGTCCTGCGCCTCTGCTCCCGCGCAGGTGGCGTGGACACAGCGGCCGTGGGCGCCGTGTTCGACATCTCCAACGCCGATCGGTTGGGCTCATCCGAGGTTGAACAGGTGCAGCTGGTGGTGGATGGCGTGAAGCTTATGGTGGAGATGGAGAAGAAGCTGGAAAAGGGCCAGGCCATCGACGACATGATCCCCGCGCAGAAGTAGGCGCCCCACGCGCTGGGCTCACCGGCCAGCGGTGGGCATCTGGAGCCCCGCCCCCCGGAAGTCCAATCCGTGGGCGCTGTCCTCTGGGTTCCGGCCAATCAATGAGAACCCGCCTCTCCGGAGCCCCGCCCACCATCCTGAGACAGCTGGAGCACCGGCTGCTTCCCCACCCCGTCTTAAATAAAAGTCCGTGGTGGCCTTAGCTTTGAGTGTGTCGGCTGCTGAAGGAGAGGAGTGGGGACTTCGGCATCCAGCCACCAAGGCTTTCATATTATGCGTCTCACTGGTTTCCTGTCTTCGGCCCTCTCTAGCTGCCGGGTTTTTGTTGTTGTTGCGCTTTTGAGACGGCCTCTCAAGTAGTCCAGGTTGGCCTCGAATTCCCTGCGTGGCTGAGGATAGGTATGGATGATTTTTTTTTTTTGGTTTTTCGAGACAGGGTTTCTCTGTGGCTTTGGAGGCTGTCCTGGAACTCACTCTGTAGACCAGGCTGGCCTCGAACTCACAGAGATCCACCCGCCTCTGCCTCCCGAGTGCTGGGATTAAAGGCGTGCGCCACCAACGCCCGGCGGTATGGATGATTTCTAATTCTCCTGCTTCTACTTTCCCCAGAATAAGTTCTAGGTTTAGAGGAGTGCACCACCATGCTTGGCTTGTGTGCGTGTGTGTGTTACACGTACTTACTATGTAGCCCAGGCTGGCCTCAAACTTGCATTAACCTCCTGCCTCAGCCTCCTGAATCGCGGATAACAGGCAGACCCCACCACGCCCAGTACGGACGGCTGTCAGTGGAGGCAGCTCACAAGGTGTCATGCGCCTAGCAGTAGCCAGACGGTGGGGTGGGAGTCTGGTCCCAGAACCCGTGTCAGGGAAGAAGGAAAGAACCAACTCCCCGCACTGAGTTGTGTTGACAAAGGTGATCCTCTCACATTGCATGCACAAATAAAGTGAAATAACTAGAAAATCTGCCACAGTCCCCTTCTGTGGCTGTGCTCCTTCAAGGTCAGGTCTCATGTAACCCAAGTTGGTTTCTAACTCACTGTAGACCCAAGAATACCCTTGACATTTTTTTGTTGTTTTGTTTTTGAGACAGGGTCTTTCTACGTAGTCACGGCTGGAACTTATGTAGATCAGGCTGGTCTTGAACTCACACAGATCCGCCTGCCTCTGCCTCCCGAGTGCTGGGAGTAAAGGCGTGCGCCACCACACCTGGCTGACCTTGGACTTCTAATCATTTGGTTTTCACCCCCTGAATGCTGGGTTACGGATGCACGCCACCATGCCTGTGCTGGGGACCCCATCCAGGGCTTCCTGCGCGCCAAACCCTCTACCAAATGGCCTTTGACTCTGGTCCTCCACGCCCAGCCTCTTCCACCTTGGCTACCCGTCTTTGGCTGAGCATCTGCTTCAGGTGGATGGTGCGGGTTGGACCTTCACTAGCAAGTCCTTAGGGTTGGGATCTTTCTCCCCAGGAACCGGCCAGAAGGCTTGTAGGAGGGCATGTGTTTGAACTGAGATGGGTAGGTAACACAAGTCCATTATTGTCAGGCATGGCAACCCACCACCTAGGTCCCAGCAGACAGGAGGTAGATGCAGCCAGATCTATGTGAGTTTGAGGCTAGCCCAGCCTGTACCTCTAATTCTGGAATTTGGAAGGCAGAGGCTGGAGGATCAAGGGTTCAAAGCCAGCCTTGGCTACATGGCGTTTGAGATCAGTCTGAGACCCTGCCTGAAGACAAACCAAAAGCTAGGGTAGGTGACAAAGACAGCTTGCCAGACCATCAAAACCATCCCTTTGAGAAGCTCCCTGCCCTGCTCACAGCCACTATTATTCATATTATTGGTTTTCCAAGACAGGGCTTCTCTGTGTAGCCTCAGAACTCACTCTGTAGACCAGGCTGGCCTCAAACTCACAGATCCTCCTGCCTCTGCCTCCTGAGGGCTGGGATTAGAGGAGTGTGCCACCACCACTCACGGTCATTATTGAAGACACAGAATTATCAAGTTTGGTCTGTCTGTCCCGTCTGCTTTGCCTCCTGAGTCAGTATCTACCCACTGACCCCCACCCCCCACCTTCCAGCCTCTCTCCATGTTGACAGTCACCAGGGCTCCCGACTGCCCTTGGAAAAGAATAAATCCCCTAGCCAGCCCTCTTCTGGGGTGCAGGTCCCTGAAGGCAGGGCTGTGGCTGTTCCTCACACACTGTACTATCAGCAAGTGAAAGGCCAGCCTGGGCTACATAATGAGATGAGCCTGATGCTTGCAAGTGTCAAAAGATGACAAACACTACTTTGGCTAGGTTGGGAACAACAGGCAAGACTAATTTTAGGGCTCCAGGGCAAAACCAGAGCATGCTCAACTTCTGTTCATTGGCAGGTTTCTGTGAAAACGTTTTTGTTTTTTGTTTTTGGTTTTACGAGACAGGGTTTCTCTGTTTTGGAGGCTGTCGGTCCAGCCCGGCCTTGAACTCACAGAGATCCGCCTGCCTCTGCCTCCCGAGTGCTGGGATTAAAGGCGTGCGCCACCAACGCCCAGCTGTGAAAACGTTTTTGTGGGGTACCCCAGCACGGCCCTTACCTCGCCCCCACCACCCACACGCTGGGGTTACAGCCGGACACACACTGGCCTCCTTTTCCTGTGGCCTGCCCAGGGCTCTGGTTACCCCCAGCCCCGCCCCCACAGATGGGCTCTGCACTCGTGTCCGGAACTGGGCCTCGAGTGAGTCGGCTCCAGTGGTTGGGAGTTTATTGAGTACATGTATTACTGAATACGAAGAGGGTTCCAGTCCAGTGTAATACGGCAGAGGGAGCCAGCGGCCAAGAGGAGGGTTTGACAGAACGCAGGGGCCTCACGGAGGAGGCTGGGCTGGGTTCCGCCCTCTTCCATAGCCATCCTTGACCCTCCAGCCCCTCTGTCCCCATTCTGCGGATGAGATAACCAAGGCTCAGCAAGCAGAACCACAGGTTGGGGTCAAGTCCCCGGCTCCCTGGCTCACCTGCAGGCCAAGGGCCGGGGAGGAAAACCCCAGATCGGCCAGGGAGGGGCTTGGGGGCCAGAGGGACTCTCCTACTATTTATTGGGTGATGGGTTGCAGATGAGGAGCTGACGGGGGGAGGGGAGGCAATAACTTAAAAACCGGAGGTGACAGCAGCAGCTCCCCAAGAGACCTCTGCCGAGGGGCAGGAGTATATACAGGGGTTTGTACAAAGTGCCCTGCACCGGTCTGGGGCAGGGAGGGAGGGCGAGCGTCAAGGGGAGGGAGGGGAAGGTTTCTGCCTGTGAGCCCCCACTCCCCGCACCCCAAGTTCTGTCTCCCTGAGCGGGAGAATTTCCTCACTTTCTCTTCTCACTCCTGTCTCCCTGCAGCAGAGCAAGGTGCCGGGCGGGGCCCTAGAGGAACCGTATTTTATCATGTCACGTGTCCCCACGACAGCCTCTGTCCACCTATCTAACACGGGGAAACTGAGGTCGAGAACGAGGCACCCCCTCCTCTGTCCTCTTCCCGCCTTGGGGAAGTGAAAGGGACCAGAGAAAGAGGGAGGGACCCGGGCTGTGATGGCGGCTGTGGCGGCGGTGGCTCAGAGTTCGAGGTCGTTGGAGATGCGGGTGACGAGGGTGCGGAAGGCCAGGGCGGTGCCTGCCACTCGGCGGAAGAGGACACCCCTGAGGCCGGGCCGGGGCAGCTGGCACACCTCTACTTCGAAATGGGACAGGGGCTCGGGCCCGCCCGCACCCCCGTGCAGGCAGGCCAGCAGGAACGGCTGCGGCTGACGGCAGCGGCAGCGGGCGGCGGCGGTGGCCTGTCGCAGGGCAGCCATCAGGGCCTCGGGAGGACGGGAGCTGGTCAGCTTCACACTCCAGGGGAATCGGAGCAGCCGGGGGGCGGTTTCCGCTTTATCCCAAGGTAGATGGCAACTGAGGAGGGACGGAGGGGTCAGACAGGGCAGACGAGGGGGCAGACGGTCTCCCTCCCACCCGCACAGGGACACAGGCGCCGCTCAAGGTTGTACTTCCCAGCCTCCCTTGCAGCGAGAGCGCCCACCCCCATCTGTGGGCCAAAAGGGTGAAATTCACTCTGTAGTCCAGGCTAGCCTGAAACTCACGGAGATCTGCCTGCTTCTGCCTCCCGAGTTCTGGGATTAAAGGAATGTGCTACCATGCCTGGCTACGCGTATATACACATACATCATTCATTCATTCATTTATTCGAGACAGGATCTCACTGTGTAGCCCATGCTGGGCTTCAGCCTCCAGAGTCATGGAATGCCAACCCTGGCAGCTCACAGGTAACTTCTAGCAAAGTAGGGGGTTCCCTCTTTGTTCTTTGTTCTGGGATAGTCAATGTTCTGGCCGATAAGTATGTGCCAGGTATGAGCACATGACCAAAGCTGGTCAGTCAGCGCCCTGAACTCTTCTGGCTGCAGACATTGCTTTCGAGATAGACATGTCACCCAGCCAAGGAGACATCCTGGAGGATTCTGAACTGGTGGTGTGCCAAAGTAAGCACAGTGGAGCAAAGTGTAACACTGCCTGCTTCTGCAAATAAAGGGTTACTGAAATACACCTATATGAGTTAATTTTTTTCTCGTTGTAGGAGTCTGGGTAAGCACTCAACACTGAGCCATACCTGAAGCCCCTCACTGGGGGACTCTAAGCAGGGGCTCTACCAATAAGCTACATCCCAGGCACCCTCATATTTGAGACAGGATCTTACTAATTTGCTAAAGGCTGGCCTTGAGCTCTTTGTAGCTTTGGCAGGCTTTGAATTGCATTCCCCCTGTCTCAGCCTCCAGGGTGCTGGGATTGGCAGATCTGCCTGACTACAGCCAGCATGGATATAATGTTTTACTACAACACAGTGATATCTATTTGTTTCCACAGAGGCTATGGCTTCTTTTGTCCTAGAATGGCAGAACCCAGCAGGAGTCACTGAGATAGACTTTTAAAAGTATTTGCGGACTGGGTCTGCATGGATACTCAGCTATTGCGTGGCTAGATTTGCCTACATCCTGCAGGCAACGCATAAAGGATCCGGGTAATAAACAAGAGGTGCAGATGTTGGAGGGACCTTGGGCCGCAGGTGGAAAGGGACTCAAAACACTGACAGCTGTGGGAAGGTACGGAGACAGGACGCGGTGGGGGAGGGGCCCCAGAATATTCCAGCAAGTCGGCTTTTTAGGGCATGAGACGCGAGCAGGCAGGGCGGGGACCACACTCACCTTGTGACCTCAGGTCCCCCGATTCTCTCAGGTTCGTCTGCGACCCTAGCGGAGAGGGTGGGGCAGCTTGTAAATCTAGACATCAGCAACCCCTCCTCCCCCACTGCCACCGGACTCCAGGCGGCCCCTGCGGTGGATCAGCTCTCCCGCCTGCCGGCAGAGCTGCAGTGTGGATTTGACCTCTTCCATCCAGAGGGGGTCCACACGTAAATGGTTAGTGCAGGTTGAAGAAATACCGAAGGATTTGAAAGATGAAAAAGGGCAGGCAGACACACCCACAGACAGGCCCAGACACACCCACAGACAGGTGCAGACACACAGTCACAGACACATACAGTGACACACAGGTATTCACGTGACAGGCACTTTCCTTACTGAGCTCTCTACCACTGAGCCACGCCCCAGCCCCTCACAGGGGGATTGTAGGCAGGGGCTCTACCACTGGGCCACGCCCCAGCCCCTCACTGGGGCATTCTAGGCAGGGGCTCTACCACTGAGCCACGCCCCAGCCCCTCACTGGGGGCACTTCAGGTTAGTGATTTTACAGCTGAGCCCCATCTTCCCTTCCTCAAACACCCTGTCAGCTCTATTGCTGTTGAAATTTTCAGACGTGCTCTTCTGTATCCTGGCTAACCTTGAACTTGGGATCTTCCTGCCCAGGCTTCCTAGTGCTGAGACTGCACGCGTTTTTCCGTCAGTTCTCTCACTAACTCATGGGTATCAGAAGGGCAGCTCTACCAGCATGGGGAGACCTCACATTCTGTTAGCCATGGGAGGCACACAGTAGGTCTCTGTGGGTAACAGAGACAGAACGACAACAGATGTCTCAACAGCATCGTCCACGGCAGTGTCCTCTGAGTCCCCGTGACCACCCTTGGAAGTAGTTTCTGTGGTCATCAGCCCCGCCTAAGGTCTGTCTGTCTGTCTGTCTGTCTGTCTCTCTCTCCTCTCTCTCTCTCTCTCTCTCTCTCTCTCTCTCTCTCTCTCTCTCTCTCTCTCTCTCTCTCTCTCACACACACACACACACACACACACACACACACACACACACACACACACACACACACACACACACACAGGCAACCACACCCACAGAGACTAGAGCCGGAGCAGAGCAGGACTTACTGATTTTGGATCCCTGGGGCAGAGAGGCGCCCGAGACACAGCGGTTAGAGTTCTGCCGTTTAGAGGGATCGAGGGTAACCCTGCGGGGTAACCGGGTGGGAGGAGTGACAGGAGGTGCAGGGGACCGAGAGGTCAGACAGGCAGGAGGCAAAGCAGAGAAGACCGGTTAGGCCCCGCCCCTCGGCCCCGCCCACACCGACCCCCCCACCTCCGCTGCAGCTCACCTTCGGGTCAGTTTGGAGGTCAGCTTGGTGAAGAGGTTGGTGGTGGGCCGAGGCCGCCCGGAGGGCAGGGGTGAGGCCTCATGGGCCAGCGTGGGCGAGGCTGGAGGTCCATTCTGCACACCCCCGCCACTCCCGGCCCCCGCCCTCCGGTCTCGGACCTGGCCCCCGTGGAACGTGCTGCGGATGGTGGAGCCGCGTGCCAGGCGGCTCCGCTCTCCCGATGGGGGAGCCAGGCTGTGACTGGAGGGGGAGGCAGGGGGCACCCGCGAGGTACCGGAGCTGTGGGCAGAGAAGGACAAGTCAGGGTGGGGTTCACACTCACCCTCCACATTCTCCGTCCAGCTCCTAACCCGATCTGACCCTGCTTAGCTTGCAATGACTGCAACACCAGACCTCCAACGTGTACGGTCCCAGGGACCCTCAAGCTCAGCTCAGAGGCTTCTAAGCCTCATTTCTTCTCAGCTGCGAAATGGAGGAATTAAGACCGACCCAGAATGCAGGAATTAGCCAGGTTCTGGACACGGTCAGGGCAGCCAGAGAGCTGCTGGGTGAACCCCCGTTATCAGTATATATATATATTTTTTTTTAATTTAGTAACTACCAAACAATCTCCTTGTCATTAAACGTAAAGAATTATGGATCCTGGGAGCAGTTAGAGCCAGCCCCGTTTAGAGAAGAGAAACTTGCAATGTCCCCGTTAAGCAAAGCTGAGCAGTCATAATCAGAACACGCACGAACTCGTAGCTCTGTCCCAGAATGCACTGGGTACTGGCTGATAATGTGCCCACGCCTGGCAGGCGGAGTTATGTCTGCTCTAGGTGGGATCCACTCATGCTCCCTCTTTTTTCCTCTTTCCTTCAAAAAAGTTTTTTTTTTCCCGAGACAGGGTTTCTCTGTGGCTTTGGAGGCTGTCCTGGAACTCGCTCTGTAGACCAGGCTGGCCTCGAACTCACAGAGATCCGCCTGTCTCTGCCTCCCAAGTGCTGGGATTAAAGGCGTGCGCCACCAACGCCCGGCTCAAAGTTTTTTTTTTTTCAGATTTTTTTTTCTTTAATGTGCATGGGTGTCTTGCCTGCACGTATGCCTTTGCTACCACGGACCTGGTGCTTGCAGGGACCGGGAGGTGGCACTGTATGTCCTAGAACCGCAGTTACAGAGGGTTGTGAGCCACCCATGGATGCTACCGTTAAACCGGGTCCTCTGCAAGAGCAGCCTGCTTCTCTTGACCCCTGGCCATCTCTCCAGCCCCTCTTCTTATGTTGAGACAGGGTCTCACAGAGCTAGGCTGGCCTTCAAGTTCCGACGCTCCTGCCTTCACCTTCCCAGAGCTGGAGTTACAAGCGTGTGGCCCTCCCCTGGCATAGGACAGGCGTCAGATTCAAGGTTTTAGGCAGGGCAGGCAGGCATTACCCACCTCAGCTACTTCCCAGCACTCATTTAAAACACGAAACAAAACAGGATTTCATGTAGCTCGGACTAGACTGTGCATCAGCTATGTAGCCAGGGCTGACCGCAAAGTCTGATTCTCTCCTTCATCCTTACAGGTGCTTGGCTCCATGCTGTGTGTGTGTGTGTGTGTGTGTGTGTGTGTGTGTGTGTGTGTGCGTGCGTGCGCACGCACTCACTTCCTATTCAAACTCGCTTCCCGGGCTCGTGGGTGGTGTGTGTGTGTGTGTGTGTGTGTGTGTGCGTGCGCACGCACTCACTTCCTATTCAAACTCGCTTCCCGGGCTCGTGGGTGGTGTGTGTGTGTGTGTGTGTGTGTGTGTGTGTGCGTGCGCACGCACTCACTTCCTATTCAAACTCGCTTCCCGGGCTCCTGGGTGGAGGACAGCACAGCCTACACTCTCAGCCCTGAGGACTGGTTACCAAGTAGGAGCACTCTGCTGGGCATAGCCACACTGCCGTGCCCTCTCTGATCAATGTGTACACGCAGGGTTGGGGGTTGCTCACCCGCCCCCCCCCCCCGGCACACCTGTTTTCTTTGCCATTTGGCAACAAGGACGGGCGCTCAGCCCCCGGTCGCTCTGTGCACACGTAGGTGTTTCTGCGGGTCATCATGCTGGGGGGAAGGTTGTTCTGTGGAGACACGCCAGGGGGAGAGATTAGGAGACCAGGAGGGAGAGGTTAGGAGACCAGGAGAGACAGGTTAGGAGACCAGGAGGGAGAGGCTAGGAGACATCCCGGCCTCCTCACACCCCGGCCTCCTCCCCACACCCCGGCCTCCTTCACCTGGCCGTATCCTGCCGCAAGGCACTTTTCTTTTTCCTCCAAAGATTTACTTTTATTAGCTCATGAGCACAGGTGTTTGGCCTCCGCGTGCGCCTGGTGCCAAAGAGGCCAGAGAGGGCACTGGATCTCGTGGGACTGGAGTTACGGACAGCTGCTAGTCACCATGTAAATGCTGGGAATCGAACCCAGTGTCTCGGAAAGAGCAGTCAGTGCTCTTAACCACTGAGTCATCTTTCCAGCCTTATTTTTCTGTTTTAAAGACTTTTTGTTGTCGCTTTTGTTTGAGACAGGGTTTCTCTGGGCAGCCCTGGTCTCCTAGGACTCACTCTGCAGACCAGACTGGCCTTGAACTCAGAGATCCGCCTGCGTCTGCCTATCCAGGGGTGGGTGTAAGGGCGTGTACCAACACCACCAGGCCCAACTGATTTATTTTTATTTTTTGTGTGCTAGTGTTTCGCCTGCAGGTCTGTACACCCCTGCATGCAGTGCCCTCAAGGAGACAGAAGAGGGCACCAGATCCCCGGGCAACTGGAGTTACAGATGATTGTGAGCCACCAGGTGAGTGCTGGGACTCCAACCCAGGGCCTCTGAAAGAGCAGCCTGTGCTCCTAACCAGGAGCCTCCTCTCCAGTCTCCTTTGTGTGAGACGGGCTCATACATCCCAGGCTGGGCTTGAACTCACTACTGCAGAGCTGAGAAGACATCTGGTCCTCCCGCCTCCACTCCGGTGTGCACAGCTCACCTGCACATGCTGAACTAAGCTTCTAGTCCTCACAACTTCCTTCCCCAGGACTCCCATGGGCTTGCCAACTGCCCAAAACAGTCCTCTGTCTTTTGGGGGGCGGTTTAGAGACAGGGTTCCTCTGTGGCTTTGGAGGCTGTCCTGGAACTCGCTCTGTAGACCAGGCTGGTCTCGAACTCACAGAGATCCGCCTGCCTCTGCCTCCAGTGCTGGGATTAAAGGCGTGCGCCACCACCGCCCGGACAGAACAGTCCTCTTACTGCACCCCGACATGCTCCTGCAGATCTCTCCTGGTGTGGTTCCCAGGGCGGCTGTCAGTGCCAGCTCAGGCCCTGCCCCGCCCCGCCTCCAGCAGCAGGCACACTGCAGGGGCTCTCCAGCCTGCTGCAGACCAGCCTTACCATCCAGTACCCCTTTCTAAAGCTTGCCTGAAGCTGGAATTGCAGGGGTTGGAGAGGTGGCTTAGTGGTTAAGGACATTTGCTGCTCCGGGATATGTGGCGGGGGCTGGGGAGAGGATTGGGGGATGCGGAGAGATGGTGGCGTCAGACGCCCTCTTCTGGCCTATTTTGGTACTGCAGGGATGTGCTCTGCCCGGAGCTAACAAAAAATTCCAATTCTCTCATTTGTTTTTTGTATTTACATTTCCCCCCTCTTTCTGAGACATGCTATCCCATGCTGGCCTGAAACCCACATTCTTCTGCATCGGGCTCCTGCGTGCTGGGATTACAGGCACGCACGGTGCCCGGCTTGGCGGATGGGGGTGGGGCTCTGGGAGGGGCTGAGGGCTCAGCAGTGGGGGTCGAGGCGGGGCCCGCATCCCTCCCCTCCGGCCCGCCACTCACAGGAGTGCTCGCGCTGTCCTTCCGTCGCTCGGGGATCTCTGCCTTGTTGGGGTTGTGGGCACTGCTGACCATCGGGCTGGAGGGGGGCAGCCCTCGGCTCCCGCTCCCGGCCGCGCTGCAGCTCGCCTTCCGGCCTGGCAGTCGCTCCTCTTTGAGCTCCGTCTCCCCAGTGCTGGTTGGGCTGCGCTTCGGGTGCAGCGGGGCAGGGGACGGGCCACCTGGTGGGGGAGCCGGTCAGACCCTGGCCAGGCGATGCGGCCCACTGGCCATCCCACCACCGGCTGAGGTCACCGGAGACGCGAGAGGGGGCCCTGGGGGGCGGCGTCTCCAGTACCTGGGGACACTTAATGACAGCTGCGGTTTATTTCTTTTCCTTTTGGGTGCCGGGGGTTGCTTTTTCAAGACAGGGTTTCTCTGTGTAGCCCTGGCTGTCCTGAAACTCACGCTACAGACCAGGATGGCCTCGAACTCACAGATCTTTTCATCTCTGCCTCGAGGGCCGGGATAAAAGCCTACAGTTTCTAATGGTGAAGTGTTTTGACACCGTCTGTCTCAAATGGATCTCTGAGTTTCAGGTCAATCTGGTATACATAGAGAGCTCCAGGCTAGACCTTATTTCAAAAAAGATAATTTTAGCAACAGTGATGGTTACTCCCTTAGATCCACTTGGGGAGTTCAGCAAGGAGCAGTGTAGATTAGCTTCCTGTGGAAGTGTCGGTGTGTGTGTGTGTGTGAGAGGGAGAGAGACAGAGACAGAGAGAGAGAGAGAGAGAGAGAGGGAAAGAGACAGAAAGAGGGGGGAGAGGGAGGGAGAGGGCCTCATTGTGTTAACGGGGTGGGAAGCCCCGCCCACGAGGGGGGGCAGTAGTCTTTAGGCTGTGACCATGGAGAAAGCGTGCCCAGCACTAACACCTGCCCAGGCATTCATTCGCTGCTCTGCACTCCTGACTATGGCATCACCACCAGCTCCTACGGCTGTGACCTCCCCACCATGACGACAGACGGCAACCCTGAGCTAACCAAACCCTTTCTTCTTCAACTGCTTTCTCCAGGCCGTTTTCTCATAGGAACGGTAAAGAAGGTAAGTTTCAGACCTCTGTGGAGGGCCACGCCCCACATTGGCGTGGGGACAGGAGGGCAGGTTCCCCGCAGCCACACTGGGCAAGGTGTCCTGAGATCCCGCTACAGAGCCCGCTCCTAACTAGACTCTTTTCTTTTTTAAAGACTTATTTATGATCCAGCAGTGGTGACACACACCCTTAATCCCAGCACTCGAGGCAGAGGCCGGCCTGGTCTACTGAGCGAGTTCCAGGACAGCTAGGACTGTTTCACAAAGAAACCCTTTCTTGAAAAGAAAAACAGATTTATTTATTATGTATACAGTGTTCTGCCTCCATGCATGCTGCAGGCCAGAAGAGGGCGCCAGATCTCATTACAGATGGCTGTGAGCTGCCATGTGTTTGCTGGGAATTGAACTCAGGACCTCTGGAAGAGCAGCCAGTGCTCTGAACATCCGAGCCAGCTCTCGAGCCCCCTAACCAGATTCTATTAAAGTTCCATCTCTGACTAAGGAGTCTCGCTACCATTTGGACCATCCTAACAGTGAGCTGTGAGAGGTTCGGGAGAGGCCCGAGAGGACAAGGAAAGGATAAGGCGAGAAAAAACAGAGACTGCAAGGAAGGCTTGGGGTCCGAATACTTCCCTAGAGACGGGATCTCAGGTGCACAAGCTGCCCTGGTTCTAAAGATCTGGCTCAGGGGACCCAGGTACGATTCCCAGCACCAGCATGGCACTTAGCAGCCCTTCCCTCTCAAGCCGGGTGCCTGGAAGGCTGAGGCAGGAGGATGGTGGATTTGAGGCTGACCTGGATCATCTAGTGAGATCGAAACTCCTACAAAAGCTTTCTCCCTGGCTTCTGCCAGCCAAGGTGGGGCTAGACCCCAGGGGCGGGGCTAGACTCCCGGGCAGGGCGGGGCTAGACCCCAGGGGCGGGGCAAGATGGGGCTAGACCCCAGGGGCGGGGCTAGGCTCCCGGGCAGGGCGGGGCTAGAACCCCGGGGCGGGGCGGGGCGGGGCGGGCACTCACAGAAGTCACTGTGCCGGCGCTGCCGGTGGTACGTGGAGGAAGCCGCCCGCTGCCCTTTGCCGTGGCTGCTGCTTTTGCTGGAGCTCGTCCCGTTGGTGGTGTCGCTGGGCGCCCGCACCCGTGCCAGGGCCAGCCCTGGGGCACCCCGGTCCCCACCCTCCTGCAAGAGAAAACACGAAAGGCCCCTCAGCGCCCTGCCCGTGCTGCCGGCCCCCGAGTCCCTCCACCCCAGGCCTGAGGCCCCGCGACCTCTGACCTCAGTCTTCCTGCCCAGCAGGAGGTAGGTGGCGGTCACCTCGTTGTACTTCTGGTTGGTCAAGGCCTCTTTGATTTCTTCCCGTGTGTAGCCCATACCCACCATTACCTCTGGGAGATGGATGGAGAGAAGGGTCAGTCTCCTTCCCCGGGCGGCCCCTTCCACCCCTCCTATGGCTCACAATGTCTACTCTTCTCCTGCCAGTGGCATATGAGGTTTGTTTGGAAGAGTTCCCTTCCTTAATGGAACCAGCCTGTTAACCCCTGGCCGCTGCTACCCAGAGTAGGTGCGTGACCCAGGCCCAACATCGTTCAAACCACAAAGACACAAGGTTAGGCCAACACATGCACACCACCAAGTTCTGACAAATCCAAAAGTTCCACCCCCAAGGACACACCGATAGCATCAAAACAGAGGGGCTCTATCACTGAGCCACGCCCCCAGCCCCTCACTGGGGGATTCTAGGCAGGGGCTCTACCACTGAGCCACAACCCTAGCATTAAAGTATTACAGTGGCATTTTCTATTAGTTGCGATCATAAAAGCTGACTATGTGGCTATGCTCCTATGGTGGTCCATGTCTTCAGCTGTGGAACGCAAGGTTCTTAGATTTATTTTTGCTGTTTTTTTCCTCTTATATCCAGGATCTCAGGTCACCCAGGTGGGCCTTCAGATTGTTACGTAGTTGAGGATGACCCCAAGTATTTGGATTAAAAGCATACACTACCATGCTGGGCTGGTCGGTAGCTTATCCTTTATTTATTCTTTGACTTATTTATTTTGTGTGTGTGGATGCTGTTCCCACACCTGTACCCTAGGAGGCTCGAAAAGGGCATCAGAGCCCTGGGACAGGAGTTACCGATGTGGGTGCTGGGAATTAGAACTGGTCCCCCTGGAAGAGCCGCCAGGACTCTCAGTTGCTGAGCCATCTCTCCAGCCCCGGTGGTTTGGTATTCTTACCTTCATAGTCAAAGGCCTACCGTGCCAGGCAGCAGCATCTACACGCTAAGCACTGATGTAAGTATGTATGCAGTAAGTATGCAGATCAGCGCCCTCCCCTGACATGTACGCGCTGGATGGGGAACTAGCAGCACAGAGAGGGAAAGCCCTCACTTGGGGTCACACAGCTGGAATGTGGTGCAGGGATATCCATCCCTCAGCTGTAGCTCAGTGGGGAGCCGTGGCAAGTCACTTAACAATGGCAGAGCGGGCACCGCCAGCCTTGGCTCTGGGGCACCGCACTCCTGAGCCTGAGACACCTGCTTCCTGGACTCTCACCAATTCTTTTGGTGTCCCCGAAGTCCTCTTCGGGCTCCGTGTATGGCTTCAGCTCCTCCCCCTCATAGCCAATGTTAATCCATTTGTCCTTCATGATTTGCTGGGGATGAGGGGACGGGGTCAGAAGGGACCAGAGACGGGACACAGAGCTGCCCATCTGCCACTGGGACTCCGCAGAGCCTCCCGCCCCCCACCCAGAGGCTTCCCCACCACCCTCCTCCTCCGCGTCGTCTGGGTCCCCAGCACCCTGCAATCATCCTGAGAGCTCATTAGCTTAATTACTGACATGGCAGGACCGCCCAGGAGCCTCTGCGCTGCTGTCTTGCTCACCCCCCCGCAGGCTGCACGTATGAAGCGGGTGAGGGGACAGGGCTGGGGCTCACCTCCAGAGTACAGCGTTTGGCGGGGTTCAGCACCAGAAATCTCCGCAGAATGCTCTCGCAGTCTGTAGACATGTAAAAGGGCACCCGGTACTTCCCTCTGAGGACTCGCTCCCGTAGCTCCTGTGAGGACAGGACGGAGCACGCTAGCCTCTGCAGACAGGGCTCACCCCTGCCACCCCACCTCACCTCTGCAGACAAGGCTCACACACCCCCACCTCACCTCTGCAGACAGGGCTCACACCCCACACCTCACCTCTGCAGACAAGGCTCACACCCCCCACACCTCACCTCTGCAGACAGGGCTCACACACCCCCACCTCACCTCTGCAGACAAGGCTCACACCCCCACACCTCACCTCTGCAGACAAGGCTCACACCCCCACACCTCACCTATGCAGACAAGGCTCACAGCCCCACACCTCACCTCTGCAGACGGGGTTCACCCCCGCCACCCCACCTCACCTCTGCAGACAAGGCTCACACCCCACACCTCACCTCTGCAGACAGGGCTCACACCCCACACCTCACCTCTGCAGACAAGGCTCATACCCCCACACCTCACCTCTGCAGACAAGGCTCATACCCCCACACCTCACCTCTGCAGACAAGGCTCACACCCCCACACCTCACCTCTGCAGACAAGGCTCATACCCCCACACCTCACCTCTGCAGACAAGGCTCACACCCCCACACCTCACCTCTGCAGACAAGGCTCACAACCCCCACACCTCACCTCTGCAGACAAGGCTCACCCCCCCCACACCTCACCTCTGCAGACAAGGCTCACACCCCCCCACACCTCACCTCTGCAGACAAGGCTCACTCTACCCCCCCTGCCTCTGCAAACAGGCCTGTTTCCCACCCCCTCCATGTCTGACCTGTCAGACAACTGAAGTTCCAGCCCAAATAGAGTGAGGAAAACTTAGTTCCGCTGCCCTGGCCACACTTTCTCGTCTGTGAAATGGGGGCAACCCTAAAGACAGCAACTTAAAAAAAAGTCCTCCCCAACTTCAAGACAGGGTGTCACGGAACAAGCCTACTTCCACCTCGAGAATGCTGGGTAACAGGTGTGAGCCGCGCCGTGCCCCGGTTACGGCTGTGCGGTGCCGGGGACAGAGTGCAGGGCTTTGAGTCTTCACAGGCAGATACCTGAGCCACACTCCCCAGACTTCTGAAGTCTTTTTTTTTTTTTTTTTTTTTTTTTGGTTTTTCGAGACAGGGTTTCTCTGTGGCTTTGGAAGCTGTTCTGGAACTCGCTTTGTAGACCAGGCTGGCCTCGAACTCACAGAGATCTGCCTGCCTCTGCCTCCCGAGTGCTGGGATTAAAGGCGTGCACCACCAACGCCCGGCCAGACTTCTGAAGTTTAACAGTCTAATTTTTTTCCCCCTTCAGAACTTTGAGACACAATCTCATGTAGCCCAGGCTGGCCCCAAACATGTTGTATAGCTAAGGATGACCCTGAATTCTTGATCATCTTGCCTGTCTTTGGAGTGCTGGGGTTACAGGAATGGGCCACCACACTCCATTTATACAAAGGTGAGGATGAATTTAGGGCTCCCCGTGAGTTACACATCACTCTGTCCAGAAAGGCTGTATCCTCAGACAGAGTGAACAGTGTGTAAAGACCAGGTTTACAACGGGAGGGGACCCTGCCACTGTCCCTCACCTAGAGTCTGCTTCCCAAATAGCCGTACTGCTTCAGTGGCAATCTTCATATATTTATTTATTTTGGGGCTTGGGAGAAGGAATCATGTTCTCTAAATGGGGCTAGTCATGAACTCACAATCCTCCTGCCTCAGCCCCCCCAAAGTGCATTGCCACCATTCCTCATTCAAATGGATACTCTTTTAAAAATGAAGTTTTTGTTGTTTTTTTTTTCTTGAGATAAGGATTCTCTGTCTGCATATTTGGAGGCTGTCCTGGAACTCACTCTGTAGACCAGGCTGGCCTCGAACTCACAGAGATCCACCTGCCTCTGCCTCCTGAGTGCTGGAATTAAAGGCGTGCAATACTACCGCCCCTCTTATAAATGATTTATTAAAGTTACACATATTTGTGTGTATATGTGTTTATCTGGGCAGAAGAGTGCATGAGATCCCCTTGGAATGGAACACAGATCCTCCAGAATAGTAGCAAATGCTCTTAGCTTCTGGGCCACCTCTCCAGCCCTCGAGGGGACACTTTTTCTTTAGTTTAGTTTAGTTTAGTTTTTTTAGACAGGGTTTTTCTGTGCAATCCTGGCTGTCCTGGAACTTTTGCTAATAGACCAGGCTGACCTTGAACTCACAGAGATCCTCCTGCCTCTGCCTCCAAAGTGCTGGGATTAAAGGAGTGTGCCTCCATGGTCCAGCATGGGGACGCTGTTAATATCCCCCCAGACTTGGCCGAGAGCTTGTCAAGTGTGTATGAGGACAGGGATTCAGATCCCTAAACTCCGACATTCCAGTCGGGCGTGGCCGACGCCCGTACACCCCGGCCTGAAGACAGAGAGGGTTCACCAGAGCAAGTGGGCCAGCGGGTGCAGCCACATCACAGAGCTGAGTGTTACTAAGACACAGCCTCACGGGGCGATATGGGAGAGGACGGAGATGGGTCCCTAGCAGCGGCCTCCCCAGCACCCACACACACAAGGCGACACAGGGTGGGAGGAATGGGGTCAGCGGCCGATGGCGGTGGTCACTGCTTTTGCAAAGGATCGAAGTTCGGCTCCCAGCACCCACATCGGGCAGCTCGCACCCTTCCTTTGGTGGTTCTAGTTCCAGGGGATGCAACACTTTCTCCTGGCTTCTGTGGGCACCCACACAAACGTGAGCAAACACACGCACGCGTACATATAAACAAACAACCACGCACGCGCACGCACACACACACATACATGCAAATAGTGAGCAAACAAATCCGTAAATAAATAAAGGAACACGGCCTCGCTGCACTTGGTAGAACTAGAACAAGGGCCTGGGGCAGCTGAGCTATTAGCCTGAGTCTTTGGAAATGTGTCCGCTCCGTATCTGAACTTGCAAAGACAACCCCACAACAGGCCCTCTCTCTGTGCTCCGGGACACCCCAAGTGCTTCAGCGTTGCATCAGCCAGCAGGAGAGGGGAGTCTTGGACAATGGGCGGGGCTGACTGAGGGTCAAAGGGCTTAGTCCTTCACCCTGGGACGAAGATTAAAGGCATTTCCTGCTCATTACATGCTCTCCTGAGGTGGCCAGTCCTCCCCGGCACCAGGAGCTGCTGAGGAATTCCTCAACTACTCGCCAGGGGACAAGAGACATCCAGACTGAGGGACACTCTGAAAATAACTGACCTTAAGCTAGCCACAGGTCAAATCAATGAGTGCCCCGGTAAGGGTCTCGGAGCGTGGCACAGAAGTAGAGCCCCTGCCTAGAATCCCCCAGTGAGGGGCTGGGGGTGTGACTCAGTGGTAGAGCCCCTGCCTAGATCCCCCAGTGAGGGGCTGAGGGTGTGGCTCAGCGGTAGAGCCCCTGTCTACAATCCCACAGTTAGGGCCTGGGGGCGTGGTTCAATATTCCTTAGACAAATGATGTCTAACTTCTGCCTGTGGGGTGGAGGCCATCACTGTTTCAATGCTGCACTTCCTGTGTGGGATCAGCCACAGGAAAATGTCCCAAGTCTCAGGAGATAACCACCTCAGCCCGTAAAGACAGTGGGACACCGTGTCTACAAAGAACTGTCCAGTGTGCCATCAATAACGACACGGCTACGTGCGTATGCAGTGACACAGGCGGTTCCAGGGCTGGAGGTCAGCCAGGGTGGACCTCCTGGAAAGTACTGGGTGTCTCTATTCTGTCCTTGCAACTTCTCTGTGCATTGGCAATGTCTCAAAGCAGACACTTCAAAGGAAAAAATAAAACAACAACAACAACAAAAAAACCCACCTTCAAATCAACCCGATGACACACGCCCCACACTTGCAGTAACTCCCAATTATCTGGGCTCTGTGTTCCTCCCTAGCACCGGGCGGCAACTGATAAAAAATTTCTGTTTAGCTCATTCCTTTGTTCTCTGCCTTGAGCCACTGTAGAAATGTCCACTAGATTTGGATGGAATCTTTCTGTGCCTTTTGTTTTTCTGCGGTGCTGAGGGTGGAACCCAGGGCTTCCTGAACACCCGGTCATAGCCCAGCTTCCCCTGACCTCTGTTGAGACTGTGGGTCCCTAAGATGCCCAAGCTGACCTTGCATTTGCCATCCCCCTGCCTCAGCCTCTTCAGTGCTAGAATGACGGGCATGCTCCATTGTATGTAGCATTTGAACAAAAACAACTTGTAAAAGCACAACTCTGAGGAATTTCAGTGTGTCTGGTGAGGACAACCATCACCATAATTAATATTAAAATAGTTTTTTATCATTAAAAAAAATGTGCTATGAAGGCTGGGGGTGTGGCCCAGTGGTGGAGCCCCTGCCTAGAATCCCCCAGTGAGGGGCTGGGGCGTGGCTCAGTGGTAGAGCCCCTGCCTAGAATCCCCCAGTGAGGGGCTGGGGTGTGGCCCAGTGGTGGAGTACCTCGCCCTCAGTTCCACCCTTTGGCCGGTTTCCCCTCCCATCCGAGTCTGCTGCTGCTTTCTGTGGATTTCCCTGTTGTGGGCATTGCACAGAAACGAATCTCTGCCCTGCCTTCTGTCACTCTTACAGAAGCTCACCCCCCCCCATGCTTCTGCCTCTTACGCACAGTAGACCTGAAAATGGGGCACGACCCATTAACAACCCCCCCCCAGCGGGCCAAGCCTGGAACCCAAATCCACCAGATGTGCACTCACAGCTGGGGCCGTATCACTGGTCCCACGGGCCGTCCTCCCTGCAGTGGGCGCCCGAGTCACCCTCGGCCCGCCTGCTCCTGCCCGCCCTGCCCGCCCGCCCCTGCCCGCCTGCGCCTGGCACCTTGAGATTGTGGCCATCGAAGGGCAGGGAGCCGCTGACCAGCGTGTACAGGATGACGCCGAGACTCCAGATGTCCACCTCTGGCCCGTCGTACTTCTTGCCCTGGAACAGCTCTGGGGCGGCGTATGGGGGGCTCCCACAGAAGGTGTCCAGCTTCGAGCCCAGTGTGAACTCATTGCTGAAGCCGAAGTCGGCGATCTTGATGTTAGCCTCCGCATCCAGCAGCAGGTTCTCTGCCTGAGAGGAGAGGGGGGCTCACCATGGAGCCTGGGTGACCCAGCTCGCCATCCTCCTGCCTCTGCCTCCCCAGCGCTGCGATTACGGGCGAGCGCCGCCACACCAAGTTAGTTTATGAGGACTTGGCAGCAGGGCCCGGGGCCCTGTGCATGCCAGACTTGCGCTCTTCAGAGTGAGCCACGCCCGCAGCCTGGTGACCTTTTCTGTGCCGACATCGGAGGCGCCACAGCCCAGCCTTCACCTTAGTTCTGACGGCCAGCAGGCCCTGGGAAACCACTCTGGCCAATTCCAGTCTCCTTCACTAGGTGGCGCCCAGCCTCCAGGTTAATTCTCCCTATCATCCAAGCCGCCAGAGATGGCCAAGTGCCAGCCTGTATCCAGAAGTTTCCACAGCCATCCTGCAGTGGGCTTCATGTCTCGGAAACCAGGCTTCCTTTTCTTTTTGTTGAGACAGGCTCTGTGTGGCTCCAGGCGGCTTTGATCTCAGCGCACAGCCCAGGCTATCCTCCCACGTGCTGAGACCACACACAGGCTTGAAGCTGGCGTGAGGCTTGCATTTTTAGCCCAGACTGTCTTCAAGCCTGTGGCCGTCCTCCCGACAGCTGGAATTACAGGCCACACCAGCCACACCCAACTTCCCCAGCTTTCTTTGTTGCTGCTGCTGCTGCTATTTTTAAGACAATGTAGCTGAGGCTGGCCTTAAACCGTCATCGTCCGCCCCCCCCCCAGTTGAGAATGGGTTGAGAATGAAGCCAGGACCTTGCAAGTGTCAAACAAAGTAGTACTCTATTGCGAACTATTTTCATAGCCCTTGGCCTTGAACTCCCGATCTTCATGTGTCTACTTCCCAAACTCTGGGGTTGCAGGTATGAACCCCACGGAGCCAGCCCCAGGGCTTCCGTTGTTGTTATTATTAGTTACGTGTGACAGGGAGGCGCACACGGCCCGTGGAGGTCAAAGGCTAACTATGAAGTCAGTTTGCTCTCTTCCGCCATGTGGGTGCCCGCGGGTGGGACACCCGGTTGGCGGGTGGGAACAGCCAGGTACCTCTTACCCACCGAAACCACCTGGGGACCGTCCCCAGGGCTCCTAAAGACGACGGGACAACTCTGCTCCTCAGGCAGAGTCTGCCTTTAAAGCCCTTTTCCTCCAGCCCGGCACACAGTAGGTGCTCACAAAGGATGACCCAGATGGGCTTGCCCGGAGCCTGCTGGGCTATCCTGGGAGTCACCAGATGGGCTTGCCCGGAGCCTGCTGGGCTATCCTGGGAGTCACCAGAGAGGCTGCTGAGCTTGGCTGCAGCAGGAGGCTGGGCTGGGCCCTAGGGGCGGCTTTCCTGCCCTGGTGCCGGAGCTGGGGCCTCTGCGCCACCCTAAGGCCCCGGGCTTCCAAGACTCTGCGGGGTGGCCCGGCCCGAACGCCAGGTTCTCACGGTTCCCAGAGGACTAAGAGCGAGCGTCAGATACACGCAGGCACCGAAGGTCGGGCACGGCTATCTTATCTCAGCCGGTGTCCTCTCAGAGGCCGCCCCGGGACACTAGGTCCCCACGCGCTCCCGCCTCCCTCCTCCCTCATGTCACAAGCGCACAGAAAAGAACCGTGGGGCCTGGGGGCAGCTGGGGTGGGGGCGTGGCCGCGGGGCTGGGGTCGCAGTGGGCAGCTGGGGTGGGGGCGTGGCCGCGGGGCTGGGGTCGCAGTGGGCAGCTGGGGTGGGGGCGTGGCCGCGGGGCTGGGGTCGCAGTGGGAGGGGCTTACCTTTAGGTCCCTGTGCACAATGTTCTTCTGGTGACAGTAGTGCACGGCCGACACGATCTGCGGAGGAAGACGGTCAGCGGCCACGGAGCCACACCCACAGCGACCCCACCCCCGTGTCTCCCTGCGCACAAGCTGAGCGGGACCAGGCAACACCTGACAGCCTCACCGGCAGGTCACACGCGCACACACGCGCGCACAGACATGGCGCTCACCTCACAGACACACACAGACACACGCACAGGCACACACAAGCCCACACACATGCACACACAAGCCCACACACATGCACACACGCATACACACGCACGCGCACACACGCGCGGACATGGCGCTCACGCCTGTGCTCTCTGTCTCCCAGGCACGGATCTTTTCACCCTGAGCCTGCTTCACACCGCGCTTCCGGCTGTGTCCTCAGCACCGCGATCCGCACGGACTCCTGCGCACCGGGCACGACATGCCCGGTACCGGCGCCACCCCACCCCGCCCCGCCCTCCACGCACGCACCCATCACTCGCCTACACACGCACCTCGGCAAGTCCACACACACTCGGCTGTGTGCGCGTGGCTTCCTGCACGTGCGTGTCCGTGCGTGTCGCATGCGTGTGGAGGCCAGAGGCCGACGCCCTCGGCTAGCTGTTCCCTGCTGTGTTTACTGGGCAGGGTCTCTGTCTCTGTCTGTCTCTCTCTCCCTCTCTGTCTCTCTCTGTGTGTCTCTCTGTCTCTGTCTCTCTCTCTGTCTCTGTCTCTGTCTCTGTCTCTGTCTCTGTCTCTCTCTCTCTCTCTCTCTCTGTCTCTCTAAACCCAGAGTTTGCCAATCTAGCAAGCGCAGTTACCCCGCCACAGAGAGAGTGCTGGGCCGAGGTTAGCCCGCCCCGCCCGGCCACCCCACGATGGCAGGGAACCAAACTCGGGGCCTCTGGCTCGCTCAGCAGGTGCTGCATCCTGAGCCATCCCCCAGCATCCTCTCCCTTTCCCGCTCCCCTTCCCTTTCGTGACAAGGTCTTACATAGCCCAGGCTAGCCCCAAGCTCTGCGTGGCCGAGGATGACCTTGAGCTCCCGACGGGGACCACCCAGCTCCGCCACCCATGTTCCGGTGCTTTTCCCATCCTCCGGACCCTCACCCAGGCCCCCGCACCACACCCACCTCCATCACTCATCCCCACAGCCCCCCCAGTCCCTGCACATCCTCACTCCTGCACATGCGCACCTGCAGGCACACCGCTCAGCCCTCCCCGGACCCTCTTCCCAGGGGCGGGGCGGGGCGGGGCACCCTGCTTCTCACCTGCCGGAATTTGGCTCGGGCCTCCTTCTCCTTCATGCGGCCGTGGGACACGAGGTAGTCAAACACTTCTCCTGCAGGTGGAGGAAGAGGCAGGGGTGTATGAGCAGGGCGTGGGGTGCAGGGGTGTGAGCAGGGTGTGGGGGGTACAGGGGTGTGAGAGCAGGGTGTGTGAGCAGGGCGTGGGGTGCAGGGGTGTGTGAACAGGGTGTGTGGGGGTGCAGGGGTGTGAGAGCAGGGTGTGTGAGAGCAGGGTGTGTGAGAGCAGGGTGTGTGAGAGCAGGGTGTGTGAGCAGGGCGTGGGGTGCAGGGGTGTGTGAGCAGGGCGTGGGGTGCAGGGGTGTGTGAAAGAGCAGGGCGTGGGGTGCAGGGGTGTGAGAGCAGGGCGTGGGGTGCAGGGGTGTGTGAGCAGGGTGTGGGGTGCAGGGGTGTGTGAGAGCAGGGCGGGGCCTCACCTGCGCTGGCATACTCCATCACCAGGTACAGCGTCTTCTCTGTCTCTATCACCTCAAAGAGCTTGACTGGGGGAGGAGAGGGGAGGGCAGGGGAGGGGAGAGGAGGGGAGGGGAGGTGAGGACTCGGGGTTAGGTAGGGTGGAGGAGCCACCGTCTCCCCCTCACTCAGTGTCCCCGCCTCACTCAGTGTCCCCCCACTGGCAGCTCTTCCGCTGCTCAGCCCCCTTTCTCTACAGAGTTTCAGCCCCGTGAGGTCAGGGGCTGACTAAGTGCCACCAGCACTTCCGGGGCGGGACTGTGCTCCTCTCCCCTGCTAACTAGTGAGTGTCATCCGTCCATGCGTCCACCCGGCGGCTCACACAACCCGGATGCACGTGCCACCCGGCTCCACTGACCCAGCCACTGCAACCCGGAGGCACTGCACGGGCTCGGAGAGGCCACGCCGCTCGCCCAGAGTCGCCCGGGGCGAAGGTGCCACCAGTGACCGGGTCTCTGTGACACGACCCCACTCTCCCTTCCCACGGCCCCACCCACGGCTCCCGGCCCTCCTCACCGATGTTGGGGTGGTTGAGGCCCTTCATGATTCGCACTTCTCTGAACAGCTGGGCAGGGGCAGAACAGACACAGGCGGCGGTGAGGGTGGCTTTGGGGGTGGCTTCCCCACCAGGCCTGGGGCCGCCCCTCACCCCGTCCCTCTCCGGGTCTCACCTTCTGCAGGCTGCTGGGGTTCAGCTGCGTCTTATCGATGATCTTGATGGCGACCTGGAGGTGAATGAAGGGGGAAGGTCAAATCCCCCAGCTCAGGTCACGCAGCAGGCGTGAGACATTCTCTTACGTTTCCTTAAACACTGATGCTGAGTCTCCATTGGGGTACGGATGGCGGTCGATGCCTATCACGCCAACAACGGGGAGGCAGAGACCAGCCCCAGGCAGGAGAAATGTTAAGCACAGGGATGGTTCCTGCAGAATTCAGCTCCCAGCACCCAAGGGAGCCGGCAACCATCAGTCACTCTAGCTACAAAGTGTCCAACGCCATCAACGATCAGTCACTCTAGCTACAAAGTGTCCAACCCCGTCTTCTGGCCTCCTCCGCCCCCTGCACTCTTTTTTTTTTTTCTGGAGACAGGGTTTCTCTGTATCGTTTTGGAGACTGTCCTGGAACTCGCTCTGTAGACCAGGCTGGCCTCGAACTCACAGAGATCCGCCTGCCTCTGCCTCCCGAGTGCTGGGGTTACAGGCGTGTGCCACCAACGCCCAGCCCCCTGCACTCCTGTGCACACATCCACCCATGAAACACAGACACACAATTAAATAAGTAAATAAATAAATGAATTTTTATACAAGGTGGGAGGCAGAAGGGGGGGATCTCTCTGAGTTCTAGGCCAGCCTGGACTACACAGGGAGGCCATGTCACAAGATAATGATAATAATAAAAGTAAAGATTTAAAACAAGTATGATATATCCTTGGGGGAAGCAACCTCTGGAATGCAGCCTGTACCCCACATACGGGGAACAGCCTGTGCCCTTGCCGGATTCTCACACATGGGTTTTGAGAATCCTGTCAGGCACTCTGCATGCCAGCACTGAGACGATCATATGGTTCCTTTCATCTGTGAATGTGACGAAGCATAAGAATAAATTGTGGAATGAAGAACTTTGCTTTCCTGGGAGGGGCCCAGCGCTGGTGCTAATTCATTTGCCTGACCCCATCCCTAACTCGGTCTTTGAGACGGGGAGGGGTGCGGGGTGCGGTCAGACGTCTCAGCAGGTAAAGGCATCTCCACCTAGCCTGACAGCCTGAGTTGGAGCCTTGGAACCCACGGGTAAGACGAGAGAATTAATCCTGCAGGGTGCTTCTGACCTCTGTACACAAAACGAATAGATGGGGAAAAAAAAAAACCACCTCAAACTTGAGCCTCCTCAATCTAGCAAAAGCCAATCTCAAAAAACGAAAAGGGTTCTCATTTATATTTACACTGATGAGCAATACCAGCCTACCATTCTGTTTCTTAGGACCGGCTTTGCTTTATTTTTAAAGCCCTAGATGGGCTGGAACTCACTCTACAGACCAGGCCGGCTTCCAAACTCATGAAGATCCCTCTGTCTCTGCCTCCTGAGTGCTGGGATAAAGGTGTGCACCACCTTGCCTGGTCCTTAGGGTTCCAGGTTGTGTAGTTTATGTGCCCTAGGTACCAAATCCAAGGCCTTGTACAAGCCAGGCACCCCCTCTACTAGGCAGGGCCTCCACCACTGAGCCACGCCCCCAGCCCCTCACTGGGGGATTCTAGGCAGGGGCTCCACCACTGAGCCACACCCCTAGCCCCTCACTGGGGGATTCTAGGCAGGGGCTCTACCAATGACCCACACCCCAGTCCCTTACACCCCAGCATTGGGATGGACTTGGGAGCAGGACAGTGGATGCTGGGAGCTTGTCCCAGTTTAATGAGAGAACCCATCACAAGGTAAACAGGTGAGAGGCAGAGACACCTGATGTCCTATCTGGTCCCTCCCTGTCTCTCGCACACACATACAACAACCAATACAATAAAACTTTGTAAAACCCAAAGAAGAAGGCAACACACCTGTGACCTGAGACTTCCTGACAATTCAGGGAGCCTTCTGACTCGTTTTCTTTTCCTACTGAGGCTGTTCTGGAAAAATCTGAGCAAGCAGGGGCTAGAGAGATGGCTCAGCACTTAAAAAGAGTGCATGCCGCTCTCCCACAGGACAGATCTGACGCCCTCTTCTGGCCTCTGTGGACATTCCATCCCCATACATAGACACACACACACTAAAAATAACATTAAAGCCAGGTGTGGCAAGCACAAGCCTTTAATTGCAACACTCAGATGGTAGAGTTGGACAGATCTCCGAGTTCAAGAGCAAGCTCCAGGACTACACAAAAAACCTTGTCTCAAAAACAAAACAAAAAAACAAAACAAAGCCGGGCGTTGGTGGCGCACGCCTTTAATCCCAGCACTCGGGAGGCAGAGGCAGGCGGATCTCTGTGAGTTCGAGGCCAGCCTGGTCTACAGAGTGAGTTCCAGGACAGCCTCCAAAACAATACAGAGAAACCCTGTCTCGAAAAACCAAAAAAAAAAAAAAAAAAAAAAAGTAAAAATAACATTAAAAAAAAAAGCTTTAGCCGGGCGTTGGTGGTGCACGCCTTTAATCCCAGCTCTCGGGAGGCAGAGGCAGGCGGATCTCTTGTGAGTTCAAGGCCAGCCTGGTCTACAGAGCGAGTTCCAGGACAGCCTCCAAAACAATACAGAGAAACCCTGTCTCAAAAAACCAAAAAAAGAGAAAAGCTTTAAAGTTAGGTCAGGCATAGTGACACACACTTTTAATACCATCACTCAGCAGGCAGAGGCGGGTGGCTCTTTGTGAGTTTGAGGCCAGTCTGGTTGATTTAGGGAGTTCAAAGACAGCCAGGGTTGGTTATGAAGAGAGACGCTGTCTCGAAACAAAACCAACGTTACATTTTGAGCAAGTGGAGGAATTCCCTACGGTTGGGAGGCCAGCCAGGACCAGTCCTGACCTCTTCAACTCCCCTGCCCGGCCCTCGGTCACCCGCACTCACCTCCCGGCCCGTGAGGATATGCCGGGCCAGCTTGACTTTGGCGAAGTTGCCCTTCCCGATGGTCCTCAGCAGGCGGTAGTTGCCCACGTGGGGTTGCTCCTCGGGGCAGGAAGCGATCGAGTTCCGACAACGGGCACCCAGGGAACGGCTGGACCAGGACGGCCCTTTGTCTGAGGACCGGCCACTGCCCAGGGTGCCATGCTGTGAGGAGAGGAGATTGTGAGTCACCCCAGTCCCTTCCCGGCGCAGTGGCCCCAGGCCCAGCGTGGCTGGCTCTCCCGAGCGCGGGCCACTGCGTCTTCCCTTCTCTGCAAACTCAGGCCGTAGGAAAACAATACTTTTGGGTCCGTCCATCTGTGTGCTGCCCCCCCTTCCCCAGCAGTGGCTGTGCTTGGGTGGTGGAGAGCTTGCCTAGCAGGCGCCAAGCTCCAAGTTCCAGCACTCTGTTGGATGGTAGAGACGGGTGGATTGGGAGCACAGGGCATCTTCTGCTACACCCTGAGTTCCAGGCTAGCCTGGGCTACGTAGCAATCTACTGCTTTTGTTCTGTTGAGGAAGGCTCCCCCTGGAGCCCAGGTTGGCTCTAAATTGATCATGTGGCCCAGGAGCAGCCTTAATGTCTCAGAGGCTGTGACGACAATTGTGAACCACCACGGTCTCAAGAAAAAGCAAGTTCTGGGGAAGCATTTCGGCGGTGGGTGGAGTGCTTGGTTCCCTGGCACAAGGCTTAGGGTTCTATGCCCAGCAATGCACAAAAAGCGGGGGCTTCTGAGACCCCCCCACCCGCCCCTTCTCACGCCTGGGGCTGCCAGCATCCTGATCACGCTCTTCCAAATGCTGCTAACCTCAACCCCCAGAGAGCGTCAGCCGCCATCGAGATGCAACAAACGCCTCTTCCCGGCCAGCACAAATCCCAAACACCCTATTTATCCATCAACACTTGGCTAGCCCCAAGTCTATTTTTCTTGGGGTGGGGGAATGGGGAGGTTGGGAGACGATCTGAAGTAGCTCAGGCTGCCCTCCAACTCGCTATTTAGCCAAGGATGACCTCGAATCCCGGATTCTCCAGCCTCGGCCCACCTAGCGCCAGGATTAAGGGCCTGTAGTCACCATACCCAGCCTTCCAGCCCCTCAATTCTGCGCCCCGCAAATGCGTTCCTACCTCACTCCCAGCTGATCGGCCAGACATTCTCACAGTGGTCTCCTCACTACCCACTGGTTTTCCACTATTTGAAAATGTTACACTGAGCCAGGCGTTGGTGGCGCACGCCTTTAATCCCAGCACTCGGGAGGCAGAGGCAGGCGGATCTCTGTGAGCTCAAGGCCAGCCTGGTCTACAAGAGCGAGTTCCAGGACAGCCTCCAAAACAATACAGAGAAATCCTGTCTCAAAAAACAAAAAACAAACAAACAAAAAAGAAAAAAACACCAAAAATAGCCGGCGTTGGTGGCGCACGCCTTTAATCCCAGCACTCGGGAGGCAGAGGCAGGCGGATCTCTGTGAGTTCGAGGCCAGCCTGGTCTACAAGAGTGATTTCCAGGATAGGCTCCAAAGCCACACAAGACAAACTGTCTCGAAAAACAAAAAACAAAAAGACCCTCCCGCAAAAGAGTTTTCTTTGTGTTTTTTTGGGGGGGGATATTTTTTTGAAACAGGGCCTTATGTGGCTTTGAACTTACCATGTAACTGGAGAAAACTGTCAACTCCCTATGGCTAGAATGCCTCTATTTCAGCAATGTTGTTACTCTCTTGCGGTATCCTACTTATTGACATATATATATGTATATTGGTTTTTCAAGACAGGGTTTCTCTGTATTGTTTTGGAGACTGTCCTGGAACTCGCTCTGTAGACCAGGCTAGCCTTGGACTAACAGAGATCCGCCTGCCTCTGCCTCCCCAGTGCTGGGATTAAAGGCATGCGCCACCACCGCCTGGCTTTTTTCTTTAATTTTTAAATTTTTTTTGATACTTGGTCTGGAATGTGTAACAATCCTTCCTGCTTCTGCCTCCTAAGGGCTGGGAGCGCATGCATGCTGGGCTTTTATGTTACAGTTGAGACAGGGTCCCGTGTAGCCGGGGTTAGCCCTGAGCTCTCCTGATGCTCCTGCCTCAGCCTCCCAAGTGCAGGGATGACAAGCCTGTGCCACCATGCCCAGCTTGTACTAATTTATAAGCGCCCCTCCCGATCAGCCCACATGTCTACACAAAGAGAGAAATCAAGTGTACTATGGGTATAGGCGCGGGAGCTTCTGGGAGCTTCTGCCTCACCATCCCCGCTGCCCCGGATTCTCCTGCAAGCAACAGACGCCTTCATTCTGTCCACCAAACACTGTTTCACTCTGACCGCCCTCCGCCACCCCGCCTGCCGTCTCCCACGCCATCAGCTCCTCTGTTCTCACTGGCCTGTCCCTCCCCAGCCTCCCCACGAGGTGACAGCTCAGGTCAGCTGCCCTGTCCTGGTTGGGAACCTCCAGGGACTGGCCTTCCTTTCTCGGCTGGGTCTACAGCTGAGGAAAACAGGACACAGGGAAGACAGGAGAGGGCCAGACAGACAGAGCCGAGGCCTGGGCCACCCCACGGCAACAACCAGCACGGACAGCCTATGTACCATCGCCCCCATTTCACAGCCAGGGGAAACCGAGGCCTAGAGCTGGGATCTGAACTCAGCTATTTTGTCAAACTGACATTTTTTTTCTAAACAGGTGTTTCATTAGACTGACCTGTACTTCTACACCTGTTCCTGTGTTTTGTTCAGTTCTCACAACTTAGAGAAGTGCTCCTCCATTCGGCCACGCCCCCAGCCCCTCACTGGGGCATTCTAGGCAGGGGCTCCACCGCTGAGCCACACCCCCAGCCTCACATTCCCTCAGTCGGCACTTTACCACGCCAGCCATCTCCCCACCCATACTCCAACTCTCATTTTAACCGTGATTTTGAGATAAGGTCTTGCAAACTTGAAATCCTCCTGCCTCGGTTCCCCAAGTAGCCGCGCTCACCGGCTTACTCCACCACGCCTGCTTCCCACGTGGTTTTACTACATAGATGACACCATCGGCCAAGTCTTGTGCAGACAAGCACTTCACCCACCCACGCCCCGTTCCCAGCGGAGCCCGGTGAGGGAGGCCCCTGCGCCCCCACAGTCCGGGGAGCAACGAGGCTGGGGCTGGAGAGGAGCCAGCACATTCACCCAGCTTCCTCACAAGAGGCAAGAGGACAAGGCCCACCAGGCCCGACAGCCATCCCAGACACGTGGGAAGCAGAGGCCATCAGGGGTTAAATTCAAGATCTGCCGGGAAAACAGAGTGCGTTCACGGCCAGCCTGGACAACCCAGTGAGATCCTACCTCAGGAACAAGTGAAAGAGCTGAGAGAGTTCAGCGTAGAGCATGAATTAATCAGGGGCTGGGGGTGTGGCTCAGCGGTGGAGCCCCTGCCTAGAATCCCCTAGTGAGGGGCTGGGGTGTGGCTCAGTGGTAGAGCCCCTGCCTAGAATCCCCCAGTGAGGGGCTGGGGTGTGGCTCAGTGGTGGAGCCCCTGCCTAGAATCCCCCAGTGAGGGGCTGGGGGCGACAGAGCTCCTGAGTGACACGCCCAAGGCCCCGGCAGAGCCTCGCCTGTGGTGCAGCACCTGCTGCTTCCAGTAAAAAGAGAAGGACCATTCCAGGCTGCTTGGTTCCAAAGTCCACCCCGTCCCCTCCCGCCCCTCGCATCCCTGCTCCAAGCAGAGTCCAGACCACTCCCAAGCCTAGACTCGGCTTCCCCAAGGCTGGTGGGAGAGTGCTTGCCCAGGGCTCAGGCGTGCGTACGGGGAGCGGCGCGGCAGGCCTGGGACTCTGGCTGAGCTGCAGGTGCCGGGAGGGGCAGGCGGGCGTGGGAGCCGTAAGATAAGGTCCCTGCTGAGCCAACAGCCTGGGAAGAATCCCTGGCACTCAGGAGGCCCTGCACGAGTGACCAAGGGACCCCTGCGAGGGGCGAGGGATGACAAAACCCCCAGTGGTCAGAGGCAGGAGCTAAAACGCCGGCACCACCAGCTGGCCCGGTCCTAACGGACCAGCCCCAGGCGGCCCTCACCAGTCACCAGGTAGCAGGGGAGGGGTCTGAAGCCTCAGACTGCAGAGAGAAATGGGTGTCACTTCAGCCAAGACTGGAGTTGGGGAGGGGGGACACAACCACCCATCCGAGTATCCCCACTACACGCCAACAATCTCAGGGTCACAGGGAAGGGGAAGACCCGCTAGGAGTCCAATTATCGTACAGGTTTGGGAATCGAGGCTCAGAGAGGTGAGGTCACTGGCCTGAGGACACACAGCAATGTGATGTGAATCTGTCAGGGAGGCGCAGCCATCAACCCGCTGACTAGGAAACTGAGGCTGGAGCAGCCCCGCGAGCTTGCCTGACAAGTAATGACAGCTGGGGTTGAGAACGCAGCGCCTTCTGACTCAGATCCACAGTTCACGCCGGCAGCCGCGAGCGCCGCCTGTATACCACCAGCCTGCACCCACACGTCCCCGGCAATTCTTTGCGGGACTCAAGTCGTTACCCCCACCCCCCAACACACACACACTTTCCGAGGCAAGAGCCAGGCTCAGAGAGGGACGGCCAGGGGCCTGAAGCCACAATGAAATGTGGCACACGGAGGTGGCGTTTGAACCTGGGAACCGGGTAACCAAGGTGGATGGGGCTGGTTGAAACCTCCAACTTGAAACTTGGGCCACTATGGGAGAGGGGGCAGAGGGGAGAATCTGTGACACCACGGCGGCAGATAAAAGCCTCTGGTTGCACACAGGAGGCAGAGGCAGGAGGATCTCTGTGAGTTCGAGGCCAGCCTGGTCTACACAGAGAATCCGGGTCTCAAAACAAAGTGTCTGGCTGGGCTGTGGTGGAGGAGCCCACGTCCTAGGGGAAGGGACTGGCGACTCGGTTTTTAGGGACCCGGAAAGCAGTTAGGATTGCGGCAAACGCGGGGGCGCGGGCAGGCTGGGAGAGAGGGGAAACTCTGGGCTGGAAGGCGGCTCTGAGTCCCTGAGCCGGGCGCTCCAGGCTCAGTCAACTCCCAAAAGTCAGGGCGAAGGGTCCAGCCCCGGGAGGTCAAAGGCCTGGGCAGAGCAACCCCAAGGGGAAGGAAGGCTTAGAGCCTGGGGTCCAGTGCGAGAGCCTGGGGGCGCACATCTGGGCGCAGGAAGCCGAGGAGCCTAGCAAGGAAAGGGGGCTCCGGTGAGCAGGAGTCCCGGGGAGGGTGTGAGGTGTCGGGAGGGAGGCTGGGCTCGCCTGCCAGCTGAGGCTGCTCGGAGGCCGGGAGTCAGCCGGGTCCAGGGCCTGGAAACCCAAGCCCGGGATGGAAGCCCGCAGCCTGGAAGCCGAGACTTCCTGCAGCAGGAGCAGCCGAGTCCGGGTCGCACCTAGGGGCGCCCCGACGCGCCAAGGGGCCAAGGACAGTCAGTGGCTGCTGCCGGGCGAGCAGGGCCGAGCCCGGGGGCCGAGACACCTTGAAGGAGCCAGGCAGGGCCCTGGGCCCGGGTGGCACTCGGCTGCCTGGGGGAGGCGGCTCCCGGGGACCGGCAGGAGGCAGGAGGGCAGCCAGCAGGGCCAGGCCTGGGGGCAGGGGGGCGAGCGGGGCTGCGCCTCGCGCACCGGGGGCTGCGCCGAGCCGGGGACCGGGCGAGCCGAGGCCGCGGGGCGGGCGAGCCGGGAGGGGACCGGCGCGGGGACGGGAGGGGCTCCGGCGGGCAGGGGAGGGGGCTTCCTGGAGGGAAGAGCCGGCGGAAGCGCTCTGCGGAGGGACAAGAGAAGGGTCCAGGGGCAGCGGCGCCCCTAGGGGTCGGGCTGGGCCGGGGCTGCGGGGAGGAGGGACGGAGAGGCCTCAAAGTCACGGGGAGCGCCGGCGGGGGCCGCAGGGCCGGGGAAGGGGACCGGGAGCGGCGCGGGGTTCCGGGTCCCCCCACGGGCTGGGCCCCACTCACCGTGTCCGAGTTGCGATCGTTGCCCGGGGCCAGCGCCGTCCTCGAAGACATCTTCTCTGGGGTCCCAGGAGGGAAGGGGACAGGGGTGGCCGGGTGGGGGGGGTGGGGATCCCGGGGTCCCGTCTCTTCCCCTCCCCCCCCAGCCAGCCGACCTGGGGACGCGAGCTCAAAAAAAAAAAAAGCAAAAAAAAAAAAAAAAAAGCTGGGCGCCCGCGGACGCCCGAGTCCTCGCTGTGCGAGCGAGGGCAGCACGGGGGAGGGGCGCAGACGCCCGGGGTGCTAGCGGCCCCGCGCGAGGGGGACCCGGGGCGCCATCGGGGCGACGGGCAAGCAGGAGGGGAGCACGGGCGGGGGCCGGGGAGGGGGCGCGGAGCCGGCCCGGGGCGGCGGCAGAGGGAGGCGGCCGAGGGGCCGGGGAGGAAGGGACGTCAGGGGGAGGGGCGGGAGGGCGGGGCCCGCCGAGACCCCGCCCCCGCCCGCCGGCTCTTAAAGGTACAGGCCCGGGCTGGCCGGGGGGCCGGGGGGCCGGGGCGTGGGGGGGCCGGGGGCGGAGGGCAGGTCCGGGCGCGCCGCGCTCCAGCAAGTTCCCGCAGGAGAGAGCTGGAGTCAGAGCAGAGAGACGCAGGGGGAGCAGAGGGAGGTGTTAGGGATGGGAGGGACAGACACGCGGACCCAGGGACAGACGCGAGGAGCAGAGGCGCAAAGAGGGGCAGAGAAGCCACGGGACGGAGACAAAAGGGCCGAGGGCGGAAAGGGGACAGAGATGGGGGGGGGGGAGAGAGAGGGAGAGAGAGAGAGGGAGAGAGAGAGCGAGCCAGTGATGCCTGTCCCCCTAACACTCAGCTTGGGACAGGAGGAGTTCGAGACCCGCCTAGAACACACAGCAAGCTCCCGTCTCAGAGGCGAACGAACAGAAGCCAAAGCTAAAGCCAGGCCGCGGGGTGAAGAGAAGAGGGCCAGAGGCTTGAGGTCCCGCTGAACGGCCAGCCAGCCGGAGGCGGAGAGCCCGGTGGCGGTGGCTAGTACCCGAGTCTGAGGGTGGCCCTGCCTGGTGGGTGACAGGAGGCGCCTCGGTTTCCTCCCGGACTGGAACCCCTGGAAAACAGACCAGAGAGGGGGAGAGCAATGAAAAGAAAGGGGGTTTGCATAATCCAGGCCCCAACCAGGTGCTCCCGGGGGAAGGGCTCTGCTGTCTTTGAAAGTCTAGCCAGACCCCAGTGTCCTTGGGTGAGAATAAGATGTTGTCAAGCATGGCGGCCTCCTGGCAGATTTCAAAAGCTCCAGGACATCCTTTCAAGTATGCAGTGAGTTTGGGACTAGCCTGGGCTACACGAGATCCTGTCAAACAGAATGGTGGTAAAAGGTAAAAGAGACAGAAGCGCTTAGAGCTAGCCCACTCGAAATTATTACGGGACTTGCTGTTAAGCATAAACATTATTTTTTTAAAAATTGAATTATGCAAGCATACAAGCAAGCAAATTATATTCATATTCAAGTTGGGGAGCTGGAGAGATGACTCAGCGGTTAAGAGCACGGGCTGCTCTTGCAGAGGACGGGGTTCGATTCCCAGCACCTGCACGGCAGCTCACGCCTGTCTGTAACTCCAGTTCCAGGGGACCTGACGCCCTCTTCTGGCCTCCACAGGTGTTGCACACAGGTAATTCGTGTACATACATACATGCGGGCGGAACACCCAACACATAAAATAAATAAATAAATACATGAGGCCTAAAACGTAAGGCCCAAAACAGTGAGTGGCAGGGCAAGGATTATTTCTCTATTACACTTGGGCAATCTATTAAATTGGCAGCCATGTGTCTCCCCCCCTCGCTGTGGGCCATCAGCCTTCACCCCGGAACCCCAGCAGCCCTCCTGTCCTATGCATTTGTGTATTTGAGACTGAGCCTCACAACCCAGGCTGCCCGGAAGTTCCTGTGCGACTGAGGTTGGCCTTGATCTCCTGCCTCCACCTCAGGGAGTACTGACTGCCGGGGTGACCACCCCTGTCATAGCGCCGGGAATGTTAGGTTTTGTTTTGTCAGGGGAGAGGGACAACACAGTCACCTCCTACATTAGGGGGAAATCGAGGGTTCAGCCCATCCACATAGGCGTAGCCCTGAGAAATGATTTCCACCTCCCCGGCCAGGTAAGTGTTTTTATTTTCTGGGCCAGGGTCCCATCCCATAGCCCAGGGTAACCTTGGACTTAAGGCCATCCTCCTGTCTCAGCCTCCCAAATTCAGAAATTATGCTTGTGGGACCAACAATTTATTTCTTTTCTTCCCTTTTGCACAGACTAGCCCCCAGTTTCCAGTCCTCCTGCCCCAGTCTCCCAAGTGCTAGGAATTTTAATTCAGGAACCTTAACTGCAATGGTTTCCTTTTTTTTCCCTCAGTAATAATAGTGTAGCCAAGGTGTAACTACAAATCAAAACGCATACATAAATAAAATGCTTCAAGCCAGGTTAGTAGCAGGTGCCTGGTGTCCCAGCACTTGGGAGACTGAAGTACGAGGGACTCTGAGTTCAAGGTCAGTCTGATGTACACAGAGATTTCCAAGGTAGCCTGAGCTATATAATGTGACCACGCCTTTAATCCCACCACTCGGGAGGCAGAGGCAGGTGGATCTCCGTGAGTTCGAGGCCAGCCTGGTCTACAGAGTGAGTTCCAGGACAGCCAGGGCTACACAGAGAAACCCTGTCTCAAAAAAGCAAAACAAAACAAACATAAGAATGAAAAATATATTTAAAATAAAGTGGAGGCTGGAGAATGTTAAGGGAGGAGCTCCGGGTAAGTTCCCAGGAGTCTTATGACCCCCAAAGACTGTTCAGGGTAGAATGGGGTCCTTGGGGTGGAATGTACTCTCCACGCTCCGCCCCGCCCCGCCCCGCCCCGCAGCCTCCCAGCTCTGACAGCTGCAGTACTCACATCCACCACCAGGGGACATGCTGTTGTCTTCCCTACTCTTAGGGTCTCATTGTCCGCACTTTCCAATCCCTGCCACACGTCGCCGCAGAGACTGAGTGTTAGGAAGTGTATGAAGCCTGAAAATGTGACATTCCGTGTAAGGAGCGGGACACAAAAGGTCACACCATACACTTTGTTTTCTAAAGAGGGAACTCCGCTGCCGAGAGAAACGAGCCCTAGGTTCCCGGTAGCCTGGGGCCTTGGGAAGAGGCCGAGGGACGGCCATCAGAGTCTGCGGAGTCTCCTCAAGGCGATGGAGATGTCCTGGATTCACAACTCTGAGAGTGCACCAGGACCCACTAAACCGCAAGTCATGAAAGGGTTAATCCGGTGCTGGAGAGCCGGCTCGGCGGCTTGCCCGGCTTGCTTGCTGAAGACCCTGGTTTAATTCTCAGCAACCACACACAGTGTGGAGTGCCGTCTGTACCTTCAGTTGCAGGGGATCTGTCCCTTCTAGCCTGTTTGGGCATTGCAAGCGTCTGATGCCCAGACATACATACATACACACACACAACTCACACATGAAATAAATAAATATTACCACTTTTTTGTTTTGCTTGGTTTTTCGAGACAGGGTTTCTCTGTGTAGCTTTGGAGCCTGTCCTGGAATTCGCTCTGTAGGCCAGGCTGGCCTCGAACTCACAGAGATCATCCTGCAGAGAACTACATGTTTAAAGCCATACCAGGGCTATCCCACTGGGTCCCCAGGCCCAGCCTCTGGGACCTGGGTGTGGGGGTTTCCTCTAATCCCGTCCCCTTAGCAGGGGACATAAGAGGGGGACACATGCTGATCCCTTGAGACCCCATCCGGGTCTCCGTTACTCTAGAGCAAGGGCTGTGGGCCCCTGTCCAGCTCGGGGTGTCTGCCCTGGGTACACAGGATGGTGTTGTTACCTTGGGAGGCGTGAAAAGCAGGCAGGAGGGCGGGCAGATTCCGGCAAAGCTGGGAGGGGGGGGCTAAGGGTGGGGACAGGGGGCTGTGGCCCTTGTCACAGCCTGGCCCAACCACAGCCTGGCCTAGAAGGGCAGACAGATAATGGGGCCTTCCAGCCCCTGGCCCCAGAGAGGGAGGGGCTTCCTGACAGGAAACTGTCCTCCTCCAAGCCCCCCCCCTCAGATGCAAGCTCTCAGCAGTCCTGCCCAAGTAGTCTGGGGACTGGAGAGCAGGAGGGGACAGAGGGACAGGCACAGACTGGAGACAGGAGGTGAGTGTCTGCGGGTGAAGGACGCATGCCCCCCAAGTTCTTCCAAGGGGGGGGGGTGCCCCGGCAGATGAGCGCCCAGAACCTGGAGGGCAGGGTTGCCGGGTGGGCAGAGCCGTGTGAGTTGCCGTGGCAGAGGCGGAGTGTAGACCAGGCCTGGAGGGCTCCGGGTTCCAGAGAGGGAGGAAGGGATTGGGGAGATTTGGGGGCCACTGTTGCAGGCGGGGGATAAGGGATGCTCCGTCTAAAGCATTCTGATGGGGAGGTAAACGCAGCGGGGACCCAGGGCTGGACGCCTCCCTAGAGATGAGGGAGCAGCACCCAGAAAACCCCGTTACAGGCGAACACCTGCAATCCAGCACCGGGGAGGCTGAGACAGGAGGCTGGTCAGGTCGGATTCTATAGTGACTTCCAGCCAGCTTGAATTAGAGATGGAGGCTGCCTGAATAAATAAATAACGAGAAGAGAGGACAGGGCTGTTGCGGATTGCAGGTAAATGTTCTTGCTCTCTGCCTCAAGGAACTGGGTTCCATCTCAGAGACCCGCAAGGCGGGGAGAGCTGAGTTCACATCAGACCTCGACCTATAGACCATGCCATGTGTGCACCCACAGAAATAAAATAAATTAATGAATACAATTAGAGAGAGCGAGCCTGGTCTACAGAGCGAGTTCCAGGACAGCCTCCAAAACAATACAGAGAAACCCTGTCTCAAAAAACCAAAAACAAACAAACAAAATTAGAGAGGGGGAGAGAGAGAGAGGGAGGGAGAAAGAGAGACAGAGACAGAGATAGAGAGAGCCAGCAAGGCTGGGATTGAACATGGAGACTGCTCACTGGAGATGGATGAGGTCTTCGATGTCAGTGAGTGTCAGGCTTCAGGGCGGTTAGCCTGAAAGGAACACTTCTCGCAGACCTTGAGGACTTTTTAAAAAACATTACTTTTCAGCAGTGGTGGTGCACACCTTTAATCCCAGCACTCGGGAGGCAGAGGCAGGTGGATCTCTGTGACTTTGAGGCCAGCCTGGTCGACAGAGTAAGTTCCAGGACAGTCAGGGATACATACAGAGAAACCCTATCTAGAGAAACAAAAAATAAATAAATAGGAATTATTTTTCCCAGTCTCACTTAGCCCGGCTGGCCTCAAACTCCTACATGCCGTATATTGACGCTCTGATCATCC